CATTTACATTTACCTATTAAAATAAATATTAATATATTATTATAAATTTATATTAAATAACTTGTAAGAGCTCTAAATCTCGTAAAATTTAGGAAATGAATAAATTTATCTATAAAATAAATGGTGGAATGGAAGTTGATAAAATATGAAGATAGATATTTTTTTTAAAAATAATATTTTAATTTAATTTTCAAAATTTTTATTTTATTTATTGCTTTTTAAGTAAAAAATTAATTTTTAAAAAGATCGGGATCGAATTTTAAACAAAATGATCTCGATCTCGATCCTCAATTTAAGTCAGAATCATAAATCTCGTAAAATTGACAAATTTGCGATCGAATCCAGGATCATCGATCTTTTGATTCGATCTTTTAACAATTCTGCTTAGGAAGTTGAAAACAAGTACTGATATTAAATCTGGTGTGAAAATCGAATATATTTTTTATATAATTTATGAGTGATATTTATATAAGTAATTAAGAAAATATTGTTATTCACATATATTTTATTAATGCAAATAATATTACCAGACATCGTCTGGGTGGGTGGGGGGGGGGGGGTTAGAAAATGTTTGTATCCTATTTTTTTGAGAGTGGTAGGGGTAGTCATGTGGTACACTAATGGTAGATAAATTTATTGGAGAGTTATCTATTAAATTTTTAGATAAAATTGGGCAAAATGTATTGCTGTAAAAATTATTACTTTTATTATAGACCTATTGAAATACAATGATATTGTTAAACATATAATAAATCTATATATTCCGACATTATTTTCAAAATTAAACTATTCCTGGATAACTTTCCGCTATTCTTTCAAATAAAATTTAAAAGGGTTAGAGATTCTATTAGTCAAATTCATGTTAAACAATATATTATAATAACGCTTTCAATTGTAAATGTGAAGTCTTTTAATATAACTCATGCTCTAAAAAATAATTTTACGTTCACAATATTTTGATAGTTGATAGTAGAGCAGGTGCGTAACCAATGAAGGTAAAGAGGGAAATTTCATGCTTCATCACAAATTTGTCAGTTCTCATAAATATAATTTAAAAATCCACCCCTCCTGCACACCCCTAACCTCCTCTCCTCAATATATCATTATAAAAAAGATTTTGAATGGAAAATAAAAATTAATAACTTTTTAAAATAATGATTATAATTCAAAATTTTCTTTAAAAAATAATTTAAAAATAAGTTAAAAATCAAAATTGTTTTTAAAAAATCGAATATAGCAATAAAATTCATGTGAAAAGAATTTATCTAAAAGTGCTCCCCCCTCCCCATTCATAAAAATTTTGGATACGCCTATGTAGTATAGCATTAATAATTTAAGTTTTTCTTTCTAAAATTTATGAAGGGATTATCTTCATAATTAAAAGCATGTCATTAATACAGTGTCTACATGAGCGGGAGGAGGGGGGGGGGGGGTAGGAACAGTTTGCATCCAAATATCTATAAAGGAGTAGGAGGTAGGTGGTAGGGGGTAGGCATTATGGGGGGTTGGCTATAATAATCTAGAAAATTTTCCAATCCATTTTTAAATTATCTATAGATAACATTTTGGTATTTTTAGGGGGGTAGATATATATATTTTGAGGGGGGTTTGCATCCAGTGAATATACTGTCATGTAGACGCTGCATTAATAACATGAATTATGTATAGGTTTATGAGAGAGGTTTGCATCCATAGAATATCCTGTTATATAGACGCTGTGCTCGGGAATATATTATATGCCGAATAATTTTAGAGATTTTGTCCTTTTACTTTTTATATTTTATATTTTATAGTGTTCACTTTTTGCTTTTTTACTTTTTTTTATTAGCTTTTAATTTGATATATTTTTACTTAATATTTTTTTTTTATTTTTTGATGAAATAAATGAAGATATCATTAATAGTTATTAATTTTATTCTTTACACACTTAATTTTACATATAATTATTTATATTTCAATTGTTTTAAAACATTTTATTTTACCACATCACTGAAGAATTATCTCATTCCCAAAGAAGATTTAATTTCACATTATAAATTTATAATATGCTTCTTAATTATATTTTCTCCATTTTTAATGTACCATATTTTTTCATGAATATATTGTAAGTTTATATATATACAATAATTTTCAAGATTATTTTTGGCATAATCAATTTATATATTTTTGCAAAGTTGTAATTCATACTAGAAGTCTGTAATAGGTGGGTTTTAGCCCAAAAGCCCTAAACTCGTTGTTTTAAATTTTTTTAGCTCGATTGCCCATTTGAAATTTTTTTAAAAATTTTCTCCCCTAGTCCATTTAGCTATAAATATTTTTATAACCCACCAGCGCGCCTAATGTTTTAAAATTATTTTAATAGCTGGTCTGGCTTTTTTATATCTTTTAATGTATCTTTAATTAAACATGCATAAAATGACTCACTAGTGTTGTTAAAGATTCCTATTTGAGTTAATTGGCCCCATTGAAATTAGAACAACCATAACATTATGTAAGCTTCATAATTTGGCCAATAAATGTCCAAGCCCTACTGCCATCAAACATAATATTATTTTGGTAATAATTATAATCAGGTAGTTTTTAAAAATCGACCCAAATCTTAACAACACTACAGACCAGGACCATCACCGGCCCAATGTTGAAAATAATTTTTGAAAACCCGATTGCGCTCTCTCGAAAAAGTGGTGGGGGTAGGCGGGCGCGCGGATATAAAATTTGTACATCGCTGACCTCTAATTCATATGCTTATTCAACGTCTAAATTACAGGATATTCATTGGATGTAAACTCCCCTCAAAAACTTTTTTCAGTGGCAATATTTCTACATGATAAATGTAGGTTTCTAATTATAGTGTTATTCCCTTCATATATCCTAAAAGGAATAACTTTAATTATCAATACTCTACTATCAAATATCAAAATATTTTGAATGTTAAAGAGTTTTTATTTAGAAGATGAATAATTAAAAATTTAATCAGTTACCATGAATGCATTATTATAGCATATTGTCTGACATGAATTTGAGTTTGCTGATAGAAGATCTAATACTTTAAAATTACATTTAAAAAGGTAGTAGAAAATTATATAAAAATATGTCCTATTTGAAAGATAATTGATTGTAAGCAATATATAAATCTCATCATGTATTGCACTATAATTATATTATAATAGGTCAAAAATGAAGTAATAAATAAATTTTCAACAAAATATTTTTCGCTATTTCATCATAAAATTTAAAAGATAAGCCATAAAATTTATCCTACCTCTAGCCTACCCCCTTAAATGACTACCTTCAACCCCCTTAAAGATTGAAAACAAACTGCACATAACCCCCCCCCCCCCCCACTCACCTGCCCATCCGTTGGTGAAGATTCTGCACCAATTATATACATTTAATATTTTATCATTTATTATTAAAATTTGTATAGAAATATTCGATATATAGTCCCTAGTCATTATACTTCTGAAACGTAGGATATTCTCAAATAACTCTTAAAATAATCCTAATTTTTTTAATTACCACCCCCCCCCCTCCCGCTAACCCTAACAAACATTTGTACTCACCTGCCTCAGAAGGATTTATAGGTATTATTATTTGTAAATTGGATAGAGCCATTTGACGAATCACATCTTTCATTAATTTTTGTTAAAAATATATCCAAAAACGGAATAACAACAATTATTTTATAGTAATCCTAATATAATTTAAAAATAACTTATAAATCTATCCTATCAATTTTGATTTTGCAAGTTCAGGCTCATTTTTCTTATTCAGAATCTTGGCATCTTGATTGTTTTCTCTTATACCAAATTAATATTTTCTCCTTCCTGATTAAAGTAAAATGCGCTGTCGTTATTATAAATTTCAGCAGACATGAATTAATATTTATTTTAACCTATAGTGGTTTGAATTTCTCTTCCATTACATTCTCATTTTAAAAAAAATTATCAAAAAAAAATATTCAGGGACCAAAATTTTTTTTTATATTGGTGAGTGGGAACTTGCAAAATTGGGGAGGGGGGGAGGTGGGCAAGTTATAAAATTTTTTTGGGCAAAGGGCTAACCATTACAATATAGTCTATAATGATCTGTATTAATCTGTACATTTCCATTGTTATTCCATTTTTAATATAAATATTCAGAGGAAATTTTAATCTTTGTCTATCTGATATTTAGAATACAAAATTAAGCAAAAATAATTTGCAAGATCTTTTATCAATATAAGGCAAAATCAAATTATAAAGAATGAGAAATTTGACCCTTTTATTTCCTTAAATTAATGGTAAAAAATATTAGTAATTTACATTAAAAACGAAATTAAAATGCAATTTTAATATTAATTTATCTCAAAAAAAATTTTTTTATTTCTAAATCCTTACAAATTTAAAAAAAAGTTACAAAATATATGAATAACCTAACTAAAATAATGCTCAATATTTCTTAACACGATTAGCTTTAATCCAAATGCACGCTACTGTACCCTATAATCCTAGTTATAAGTAGAGATAATTCTAAATAAAATATTTTTGGCTAAATTGTAAGAAAATATACTTTAAATTTAAGAAATTTGAGAAGAAATATTTAGATTAATTTTAATTTTATTAAAATTTTAAATATATAACCTATTCATTTGCAGTTAACAATCCATAAAAACCCTATATATTTTTTAAAATATTTTTCCTACCCCACCTCATCTCCAGTCTTCCCCAGCTGACTACGCGCCTGATCGTATGTTAACTAAAAATGTTTGACTAATTTATGATTTATATATAATATAATATAATATTTTAACAATATTTTGAGTTAAAAAATTAATATTGGCATTTTTATATTGGTATTTTAAAAGAGTTCAGTTAAAAATAAATTCATCCTTAATTCAGCAATTTCTAATTTACACGATTCCAAAACTTACTAATAAATGTCTGGCTCTGACTCTCATCATATTTATATAAATTTTATAATCGCGCCATAATTTCACTTTTCGCGTTTTAGTAAAATTTTAAAAATACTCTAAAATATATATTTTCATTATATCAAATATTCATATCATAGTATAGTAAATGGATGGACATATAATTCGTTTTAAACTAAAGGATTTTATGTAAGTAAAAAATAAAAATATCTTTTGGTATTTTTATAAGAGAAAGTCTATGGACTAATATATAATTGTTTGAAATATTATTTTATTAAGTTTAATTTTAATACTTTTAAAAATATTAATAAAAATTTAGTTTTGTAATTGTCATAAATAATAAAGGACATATTCTTTGGTTGAAAGTTTTCCTCACAAACACCTCAACATTATATCTGGGGGCAATGGAACAGGTTTTTTAAAAAAAAATTTATTGTTAAGATATTTTAAATTCTTTTATTTATCATTAGGAAGACATAAAATAATACTTAATTTATAAATATACTCTTTTAGATAATTATTTTCCATTTTCAAAAATTAAATTGGTTTTACAGGTAAATCATCCGTTTTCAATGGGATCTTGTTTAGTTTAAATGGCAAAACAACATTTATAAATAGAGCTAAAAAGATAGGAGATTTTATCAAACATGGGAAGGAAAAAGCCTCCCTAGAAATTGAATTGTAAATTTAATAAACATTATTAATTTTTAAAAACACATAATTATTTTGAATAATTTACAGTATACTACCATAGTTATACATGAGATTAGGTCAGGTTGTGAAATATTTTTTTACAATTTTATATGTAATAATGCAAAGCTCAATATTTTACACCAAGGTGTCAAGAATGGTAATCTCATAATCCTTTTCTAAAAAAATATATTTTGAAAACATCAAAATTATATAATTTTTTAAAATTAGTTTAGTTTATGGCCAAAACCTGTTTATATTTTAAAAATAATTGGGATGGTCCTAATATTTATTAAAAAAAATTGGGCAAGGTTGGACTAAAATGTTTAAATTTATATATTTTAAAATTTTTGCAAGAAACAAGCACTAATACTTTTTATTTTTAGAATATTATTTTTATAATTTTGTTTTTTTTAAAATAAACAATGATGATCATGGATCCTTTTTTAAAATCTTAGGACACAAATTGCCATGTTCCAAGGCAACTATCTTATTTTCATTCAATCTCAAAAACGGTTTGCTCCCCATCCCTATATTTTTTATTAGTGTTGTTAAATGGCTCTATTTGAGCAACTTTTTAAAGCTGCCAATATTTTAGCTAGTAAAATATTGCCTCAGCCTTGAGATTTCACTAATAGATGTCCAAATCTTTGTGCCACCAATAAACAAATTCTTCACGCTTGCTTAATATAGCTGCAGGGACCCAAATTATTTATAATGGTTCAGTTTGGTATGGTTCACTATGTAAAAAATATAATGGTTACAGTTTGGTTATAGTTCTTAAGACAAAATTTGTTTTGACGATAACACAAATTTTAGCCCTGAAAAGGCCCTTTCAGCAGAAACTTTGTTGTGGAAACCACAAGTACTATAAGAGTAGTGAAGGTCATGGTCTGGTCTTTGGTCTGGACCAATACCCTTGGCCCAGACCACAGTCCTTAAGAAAAAAATCAATCCAGACCATGGTCCTAACTTTTTATTTGTTTAAAAAACATATTTTTTTATCTAATTTGATTTGTTTTATCATTTTATTAAATATAAGAGTAATATAAACAATAAAATTTATCCAATGGTATTGAAGAAAATGATTTTGTGCTTGTGAAGGGCATATTAAAATTAAGAGTAAATTGTGTTTTTTGAGATATTTTCATTTTCATCATTAGAAGTATATATTTTATGTTTTATCAGATGTCTGCTTAAGGTTCCTAATTATTTTATTAAGAATAAGATTAAGTAATTTTTACAATAAATTATACAAACAGTTTCTTAAAAAAAAATAGAACTATATAATAACCAAAACATTTTAATAATATTACTGCTTATTTTGATTAATTTATTGCTTAAAAAATTATAAACAATTTTGTTACTAGTTGCTGACGATACATTAAATTTGGTACTACAGTGAACACATACTCTATGTTTTTATTGGGACTAAACTTAAGGTTTTCATATTGTAAAATAAAAATTAAAATAAATCCTCTAGAAAAATATCATAAAATAAAATATACAAAAATATTATATTAATTGAATAGTAAAGCAAACTTAAACAATAATGTAAAAAATAAAAAGACCGGTCCAGACCATGGTCCTCAAAAAAAGATCGGTCCAACAATCGGTCCGGTCCGACCCCGGTCTAATACCGATAGGACCGGACCGTTGACCTTCACTATATAAGAGCAAGTTTATATAATTCTGGGATATTCAATATATAAAAACTGATGATTTTTTAGATTCATTAAATAAATGCAACTAATGCAAAAAAATTTCAGGTTGAAGCAAACATATATTGTAAAATTATGATATTGATAAACTAATTAGAATTTATTATCAATTTAGCAAACATATATTGTAAAATTATGATATTGATAAACTAATAGAATTTATTATCAATTTGCTAGGCCACATCATATGGATATTATTGGTTTAAAAATTTGCAATCCATCTAATAAATGATATTAAAAACGATTTGAAAAATTTGCAAATATTTACACTTCAAGACAACATATTATCTATTTTTTATAATAAAGGCTATCTACTTATGCTTTAAAATATACTCAAATGCCAAAATTATATAAAAAACGAAAACCTAATAAATTTAGTCATTTGTATGGTAATAATGATCACTATCAAACTATTCATGGGTAGGTGGTGATATTATTTAATTTAATTAAATAAATGCAACTAAATCAAAAATATACAGATTAGTTATTTATATATTTTGCATAAAAAATAGGAATGCTCTAATACTATATGAAACAGTTAAAAGAATGTGGATCAATGTCATAGTGGAAATATTATACATACTTATGATATTAAACAAATATTTTGATCATTTAATCATTACAAATAATGAGACAGATATGGTAAAATATGTAATACATCACAAGGAAAAATATCTTGAAAACATTTCCAAGATTAATCGATTGTTTTTCATGTCCTAATAAAACCAAGTGGCTCTTTCTTATATCACTACTCAAACGTTTATCTGATTTAATAATCTTTAATGGTGAATCGATGTGGATGATCAAAACTGATACAAAATATCTGAAAAACATTTGAAAATGCATTTTTTTATTGGTATAAAAATTTGAGAAAACTGATGTAACACAATATTTATAATTTTCTAAACCTTTAACAAATAATTTTTTAACAATTTCAATTACTAACCTCTCTTCAGTAATATTGATTGAAAGGTTTTAATTTTTTTTATGTTTATAAAATTAAGATGGCTATCTTGATTTAAATTTATTAACTAGTTTATACAAAAAATTGGAAAAATGATCCTCTTCTATTCTGCAATTATCATATTTCTCAAGGCCTTGATATATAATAAGAACTATCTTCCAGTTGGTAAAAACAGTTTTGGTATAAATTTGATTCACCATTCTCTAAGTTATAGATTTTACAAGGAAGGCAAAAAATTGCCTGAGCTTCTATAAATTATTTAACATATACATATTTATAAAACTTTAAAGGAAATCTTGCTCCATTATTAGTAACTCTTTTTGAGTGATATTTGTATTGTTAAAAAGATAAATATATTACGAAAGAATTTTTTTTTAAATTCAGATGCCATTCTATAGGATCAGAAAATTTTATAATATCAGCAGATATTGATATTTTTAAAAAGGTGAAATATAGGCCCGATCCAATAAAAAATATCGGTACATCCCTAATATTTATAATAATAAATTAGAAATCTTCTACCTTTAATTCTTAATATGCAAAAAACTCTTTATGACAATTTATTTCTCCTGAAACAAAAGTTCTTTGTAAACTAGCCCTCTGGCCACCTCCAACTCTGTCACAAGCCAATATGCCATTAGATAGGGCTCAGAAATATAGTTTTTATTCCAAAATCATCTTCATGTTCAAAAAGAAGACTAATCCAAATATTTGCATTATTTTAAATTATAAAATAGTAATATAATGTTATATATTTTAGATTATTATTTTTAACACTGCTTTGGGAAGACATGTGTCAGGTGCATACTCAACAGACAGGGAGAAGGCGAGATTCCCCCTGTAACAAATTTTTTTGGAAAAATATGTAAGGTTTACATAAAGTGAATTGTAAATTATTATTCTATTTCAAATAGGCTATATTCTGTTTTATATTTTAGCAAAATTTAAATATTTCTTCCTTGTGTATTAATATTTTAACCCACTAAAATTTAAAATATATTTTCTTACACCTTAAACATTGATAAATATAAGTTATGTCAACCAAATAAAATCAATTTAATTTATTACTATACTAATTAATTACTATGATTTAGGCAACACAGAGTGTATGAAATGTTCAGATATCTAAAGAGACAGAATTTGCTGAATAATTTCTGAGACATCTTGTGCTACAAGAAGAAATAAACTGCAAAAGCATGCCCGACAAGATGAAGCCTTTGATATCAAGCTCTTACAGTATTTTTGGATCTAGAAGATACTTTGAATGCTCTTAAAGGAATATAGCCCGAACCAGATATTTCATCTGAGCATTACAAAAGCCAATTTTTTTGAATTGCTCCATACGAATTTACTTTTATCCCTAAATCAAATCAACACAACAATAAATCAAATAATTCTTTATTTTATTTAAATAGAAGGATTAATTGTTTTTATTATAATCCTTTACCTATATATATATATATATTATATACTTTAGGTGTATAAAGTCAATTCAATTTATACAAATTAATTATTAAACGTATAATAACTAATAAAATAGATGATTATGGTGAAGTAAATAATGGCTTACTAAGTATCATGTTGAACACAACAAATTTTAAAAAATAGCATAGTATATAATAACATTTTAAAAGAGGATCCATCCATGATCGCTATTAATTTTAGGAATTTTTTTTGCATAAAATCTTTAAAAAAATGGTAGCCTAGGGCTATAGTACCATTGGTAGAAATAATTATTAGGATAAAGTGAAAATTTGAAAAGTTATATTTATAATTTTTGACCTTTTGGCTGTAATAATTAGAATGAGATGTTTGGGTAGAGGAAAATTGGGAGACACAAGTGAAATCACAAATACGGTGTTTTTTAGTGTTGTTAAAACGTCGCGACCCCGACCCAAAGTTCGGATCGTTTTTTTCGACCTCGACCCGCCGAAAAAACGATCTCGACCCAAAATATAGGTCATTTTTTTCGATTCAGACTTGAAGTTTATTTTTTAAGGCAAATATATAAAAATATATTTTGTAAACATGTTAAATTAAAATTTCATTGAAGATGTACCATAGGAAAGTGACAATTGTCATAATCGTCATTTTTGAATTTTTTTAAGGCAAATGGGTAAAAATATATTTTGTAAACATGTTAAATTAAAATATCATTGAAGATGTGCCATAAGAAATTGACAATTTTCATAATCGTCATTTTTGAACTTTTTTGAATTTTTTTACGGCAAATGGGTAAAAATATATTTTGTAAACATGTTAAATTAAAATTTCATTGAAGATGTACCATAGGAAAGTGACAATTGTCATAATCGTCATTTTTGAATTTTTTTAAGGCAAATGGGTAAAAATATATTTTGTAAACATGTTAAATTAAAATATCATTGAAGATGTGCCATAAGAAATTGACAATTTTCATAATCGTCATTTTTGAACTTTTTTGAATTTTTTTACGGCAAATGGGTAAAAATATATTTTGTAAACATGTTAAATTAAAATTTCATTGAAGATGTACCATAGTAAAGTGACAATTGTCCTAATCGTCATTTTTGAACTTTTTTGAATTTTTTTAAGGCAAATGGGTAAAAATATATTTTGTAAACATGTTAAATTAAAATTTCATTGAAGATGTACCATAGGAAAGTGACAATTGTCATAATCATCATTTTTGAACTTTTTTAAGCAAATGGGTAAAAATATATTTTGTAAACATGTTAAATTAAAATATCATTGAAGATGTGCCATAAGAAATTGACAATTTTCATAATCGTCATTTTTGAACTTTTTTGAATTTTTTTACGGCAAATGGGTAAAAATATATTTTGTAAACATGTTAAATTAAAATTTCATTGAAGATGTACCATAGGAAAGTGACAATTGTCATAATCGTCATTTTTGAATTTTTTTACGGCAAATGGGTAAAAATATATTTTGTAAACATGTTAAATTAAAATTTCATTGAAGATGTACCATAGTAAAGTGACAATTGTCCTAATCGTCATTTTTGAACTTTTTTGAATTTTTTTAAGGCAAATGGGTAAAAATATATTTTGTAAACATGTTAAATTAAAATTTCATTGAAGATGTACCATAGGAAAGTGACAATTGTCATAATCATCATTTTTGAACTTTTTTAAGCAAATGGGTAAAAATATATTTTGTAAACATGTTAAATTAAAATTTCATTGAAGATGCACCATAAGAAAGTGACAATTGTCATAATCGTCATTTTTGAATTTTTTTAAGGCAAATGGGTAAAAATATATTTTGTAAACATGTTAATTTCATTGAAGATGTACCATAGGAAAGTGACAATTGTCATAAACGTCATTTTTGATTTTTTTAAGGCAAATGGGTAAAAATATATTTTGTAAACATTTTAAATTAAAATTTCATTGAAGATGCACCATAAGATAGTGACAATTGTCATAATCGTCATTTTTGAATATTTTTAAGGCAAATGGGTAAAAATATATTTTGTAAACATGTTAAATCAGTGAAGATGTACCATAGGAAAGTGACAATTATCATAATCGTCATTTTTTAACTTTTTCGAATTTTTTTTAGACAAATGGGTAAAAATATATTTTGCAAACATGTTAAATTAAAATATCGTTGAAGATGCACCATAGGAAAGTGACAGTTGTCATAATCGTCATTTTTGAACTTTTTTCAGTTTAATTGAAGCAGATAGATAAAAATATTTACTGTAAACATGTTAAATCAATTTTTCAGTGATGAAAAACCCTGAAAAAATTAAAATAGCCATGTTGATAATTTTTTTAGAATATTTTGAAGAAAATGGTTAAAATATATATTATATAGTTAATTAAAATAAAAGCCATAGAAAAGTGATAAAAGTCATAATTATTTTTAAACTCTATTTAATCAAATAGTAAAAATCTTATTTGTAAAACATGTTATATTAATATTTTAGTGAAGAAGAACCCGAGAAAAAGATGGTGGCAAACTATCTCATATAAATACTTATTTATTTTTGGAAAACTGATTTTATTTATAATTAGTATTTCAAAGCCTGTTTTATAAGAGTTTCCGCTATTTTTTCACAATATTTCAGTTTTTTCGATTTGGACTCGGGTCGAGGTCGAAAAAAACGACCCATATTTTGGGTCAAGGTCGTTTTTTTCGGCTTGAACTCGGGTCGAGGTTGAAAAAAATTTGGGTCAGCTCTGTTCGAGCCGACTCGGCTAAGCCGATTAACAACACTAGGTGTTTTCCTCTAAACCAGGGAATGTTTAAAAGCCCATCTGGTCTTTTTTCATCAGATATTGTATGGTTGGCCAACCCTAAGTTGTTTATAGTTAGAGACTGAATTGTCTTTTAGAATCTAAACAGGTTAGACCATGTCAGCTCTTAGAATCTGATCCACAATTTTATGCAATATTTTCTAAAAAAATGATATGGATATCTGCATCGGACCTAATTTTTCAATCCCGGCCCACGAATATAAATTTTTTTTATTAGTACCAAAATAAAAATTATTTATATTACACCCAAAATAAGAGATATATGTCACATGGCGCCTAGTTTCTACAAATAAATAAAATAAAATATTTTTATTTTACAAATAAAAATGTTGGGGCCTTGTTTCTTAGAAAGCGAAACTATATGATTTTGAGTTTCAAAAGCGTCGACTTGCACCTAGAAAAACAAATGGTTTTTATACCAACGTTTGCTCAATTGAGGGTTACATTAAAATAACCGTTGTTCCACTTTTAGTTACATCCTTGACTCAAATCAATGAACGATTTGTGATTCATTAAATGGCTCTATCCAATTTACAAATACCTTTACCTATAAATTCTTCTGAGGATATATTAAATATTGAAAAAGTAAAATAAAATATTTGCTAAGATTAAATAATCCTCAACGATACTTTAGATACAAGTATCTACATTAAAAAATATGTCATCGGTATCCATGTCTAGATACAGGTTTATTAAGAGTATTTATAACGGTATCTAGATACTCTTCTAGAGGTATCGGTATCAATTTTATGATTAAATTCATTAATAATATGTCCGAGTTTATTTCTTTACAAAAACAAACCAGACAAATTTTATTTTACGCAATAGACAGCGAAACGTTAAATTATAATTTATTTTATTTATATTATATAAAAAATATTTATCATAATTTTTATCCTGGCTACGCGCCTGACAGGAGTAATTAAATGTTAGGGTAAGTCATGAATGGAATCTTTATATTTGATAGGGTTAATTGGAAAAATATCTTTTATCAGACACAATAAAGATCAATGTATATTTCGTTTGGTAAATTTGCAACCGTCTACTTTGAGCGGTTCAGACAAGTTCGGTTGAAAAATTGGTCTCTTGTAGACCTCTACTTAAAATTTTTTCAATAAATGGTTGTGGTCAGCAAAACTGGGAATAATATTTGCCTAAAAATATATCTAATATAAATGTATTTTTCGACCAGCCTACATAAAAATATAATAAATGGTTCAACTATTATTTATAAATTTGCTTATCTTATTCTTCATTAAAAAAGGTACAATTCCAAAGGTTCTAATTATATAATTAATAGAACCATATTTCCGGATTCTACTTCTACTTGGACCTTCAATGGGGCGCGTTCCACTCAGAGAGAAGTAATTATATTTGATTGATCATTCTTATATATATAATACCCATGTCCAGATTTTATTTTTTTATAAATATTATAGAAAATATATTAAAGGGCCATTTTATCCATATTAATTTATCAGCAATGCTGCTCAGATCGTAATCACCTCACCCTCCCCCCCCCCTTCCTCTATCCTAAATTTAATGGAATGCTTTTTTAAAATAATGAGAGTCTGCTGATGTATGGAAAAGTAAAACCATTGAAGTTTTGATTTATTATATTAGTGAATTTTTTAGCAATGAAGTTTGAACTTCAAGGATTTTAATATCTGAATTTGAATATCAGGTAACAAATTAATAAAAAGAACACTTTTTAAATTTTGTTAATTTGCTTGGTCGTAAAATTTACAATCCAATTTTGCGCCATGAACCCTGAGCACAGACCCGGAGTATAAGAAAAAATGGAATATCAAGTGAATAAATATAAAATTAAAAGAATAATTTTCCGAAATTAATTTTAATTCTAAGAAATGGCAGGCGGATATATACTAAAATAAAATATTGACAATATATATTTGGAGAGGGGAGTATAGGATCCATAAATAGAATTTATTTATTTTCTTGCTTAACATAAAAAAAGTTGGTTATTGCTTAAGTCGAGGGGTATTTTTATTTTATTTTTTTTATGTTTTTTTTAAATGTTATTTTAAATTAATATAGTATTATTTGGTTTTGTGATAAATTTTTAAAATAATGTAGCATATTTTTATTATTTGGTGATAAATTTTTAAATTAATATGTATTTTTTCTTTTTAAAAATATTTCTTAATTCCTAGGGAGGGGAGGAGGGTAGAAGAATTGTGATGAGTCAATTTTATTCATTAAATTAATATAGTCTGATAATCTAAGCAATTTTAGGAAAATTAGCATAAAACTTAAATTTTGTATTTATTAGAGGTAAAATAGACCCCATCTTTAAATTCTAAGTGATTTTTTTAACCTTTGTTGGGAAGGGTTAATTCGAAATAAATTGAAATATATTATTGAAATTTATACAAAATAAAAATATCGAAATATAGTAATAAACGAGTCAATTTTATTCATTAAATTGAAAAATTGTATTAAAATGTATACAGTCATTTATAAATAGAATAAAAAGATCAAAGCGATTTAATAATTTATGTTTTCTAAAATATCTATATTCAAGTAAATATTCATGAATATTCTCTCGATTCCCATGTCTTTTAAAGTTTTCCTTAAGATCCCGCCACAGTCTTTCGACTTTTTGGGTGTGAATGGATCTATCATTTGGGTCAACGAAGTTTCGGGATTGATTGACCCTATAATGGAAATAATTTGTTTGATCCAACGATTATATCTAAGATAAATAGATTTAAATATATTACTACTTTTGATTTACAGAAAAATATATTTACATAATAATACTATATTAAAATAACATTTAAAAAAAACATAAAAAAATAACATAAAAAAAATAACAAAAAAAATAAAATAATATACCCCTCGACTTAAGCAATAACCAAAAAGTTTTATGTTATTTGGATTTGACATGTCTTCTATATATAATTATAATAACAATAAATGATTTATTATTTAGAAATAAGTTGTTAAAATTTGGAAAATAAAATACATAAATATGTTATTTTAAATCGTGCGAATTTTAGAAAAACTAATTTGTTGAATGGGATAAAGATAAACAAAACAACTTATAATAAATCATAAGAGAATAAATTGTGATAATTTAAAAGATTATAAATTTTTAATGCATATAATAAGATACTAAGAATTCCTGAAGAGGAAAAGATTTGTTTTGACTTTTAAAGAAAACGGGGTTTGTATGATCAATTGCGGGGATTCATAAAATTCGGAAGCTGATAATTATCATTTAAAAATAAAATTTTGATCTATGAATATTTAAAAAAAGGACTTATCAGGTAATGTGACAAGTTAAATATTTAACTTAAAACGACAATAAAAAAAATCAGCACATAAATTTATGGCTATTTTATTAATAAATGAATATTATTTAAATTTTATTTAATAAAAAAATATAAAGATTATTTGATTTTTTTGTGTAAAAAAATAATTAATAAGTTACATTATAATAATACCGCGATATACATTATTTAAAAAATAAATATGTTTTATTCAAGATCAATTTCCCAACAATTTAGGGATATGCAATGTTTAAGAGTTGTGGATGACATTATATTTCACTTTTTTGTTATGCATTCCACTGCCTTACTAAAGATTCTTTCGCTAGCAACACTCGCCGTTTTTTGCGCTAAGAAATCTTTGGCCATTAACGATAAATGTGGATATATATTTATTAGTGATCTGCATTGGGCCTAATTTTTCAAGCCCGGCTTAAATTTTTTTTAAAAAGTTTTACAGGCCCGGGCCAAACCTGAATTTTTTTAAAGAAAATTTACCGGGCCCGAACTTATTTAAATATAATAATTTTTATAATTACTCAGAATAAAAGACATAATGTTATATGGTCTAGTTCAATAAATAAAATAAAATATTTTATATTACATAAAAAATTCAATATAAAATTGATAAATTTAAATATATTTTAAAAAGTTTCCAAGGCCCGACCCGACCCCGCCCGAGTTTTATTTAAAAATATTTGGCCCGACCCGGGATGAACCTTATTTTTTTAAAAAAATTAAGCCCTGCCCGAAGCCCGTTCGGGCCGGGTACGGACTGGGCCTACTTTTGCATATCTCTAATTATTATTATTAGACCACCAATCTAATAGATTTGTTGTTGGATTTGCTACATCTTTTTAAATATAGCGATATTTCGTCTATAAATGGATCATTTAATTGTAACGCAGTCCTAAATAATAAATAGACTATTATGTATGCTTGCAGAATATGGTAATGCCTCAATATCCAATAAATCATTTTCAGAGGCTGACGACTTTGATAATGAGATGTTATATTTTGTATATAAAGTTTTAAATTGATACAAGTCTGATTTATTTATGAATTTAGGTAAAAATTGCTTAATTTTAGGATCCATACTTGATATCAAATTAGAAACTGATGTCATATGTTTAATATATTTTACACATTTTTTTAACATCACCACCGTATTTTTCAATATGGTATCGTCAGTAATATAATGATTTAAGATATTTTAAATTTATATTGGTAACTGATGATGCTTTTAAGATAATTTTGTAAAAAAGTTTTAAAATCTCCTCTATCTTTTAAAAATTTTGATTCTTCATTATTTATAAATAACAGGCCATCTTGGTAGCTGCCTTTTTCCCTAATTTATTAACTACTTCTAAATTCTATAAAAAAATATTAAACATAAAATTACACTATAGCTTTGTTAATGGACGATATCATTAAGAATTTAGAATTTTATCTTGTTACATATTGGAATGCGTGTACCGCTAGATATGTTAATATACTCTTGCATATATTTTGGAGACATGCAGTTTTAAAAAATTTTTATTTATTTATTCTAATTTATCATTTAAAATGATCATTTCCTCACCCACAATAATATTTATTATATGAGCTAGACACCTATAGCTATATAAACATTAACCATATATGCATAAGTTTGATTTATTATATGCGATGCTTATCTTGAGTAATAGACATAAGCCCCTCTTGAATCTGGAAAGATTCAAAAGGGGCTAGAATAGATTCAGATATTTCTAGCCCCGTATGTGGATGCAGTATCTCTATAACATATAGGAGAGGGCTTATCATTTTCCAGGTTATTGAACAATAAGATAAGGAATTTATTCCCGTCCAAATATCCGATGTCAGGCTCATTTTGCTATTTAGCTGTTTAAGGTCTTTAATAAGTTTATTTCTTGATTTTTGATATAAATCTTTTACATAGCGGACACCTGTTTGTCGACACTATATTTTCTCATTTTTAAATATAAAGGAGAAGATACTACATCTATATTTCAAATATATTTAAGATGACTTCAACAAAATCTCGTAAATATATCCACTGCAATACACATTATAGTATACATACAGCCTCAAGTATATTTTTAAAATTTAATATATGATTATAATATATATTTAGTAAATTTAGGAAAATAATGCAAAACAACACATTCGTTAGTAGGAGTAATAAAATTAGTTCCACATGAAAATACACAACTAAATAAATTGATAATGAGGTATATAATAAAAAGCAACATTCCCTTTAACAAATTAGAATGTCCATATTTCGGAGCTATCTTCTCCTTTATATTTAAAAATAAGAAGATATGGTGTCGAATAGCCTGCTATGTAAAGGATTTATATAAAAAATCAAGAAATTTATTAAAGACCTTAAACAGCTAAATGGCAAAATGAGCATGACATCGATCACAATTATTCACCCATTTTTTTTAACAATTACAATTATTATTAAAAAAGATTGAATATGTTATTTATGTTGTATTTAGGATATGGAATCCATTTTGATTCGGAATCTTCATATTTCATCTATTGAGAGGCGCTTTTTAACTAAAAAATATATTCGAAGAGATTACATCATATAAATATATTTTAACAATTTAATATTGAAACACGAATTATGCAAATGCGACATAAAAAGTCTTTCCACAGGAGCTATTAAAATTACCATAATTAAAAATATCGTTTTCGTGAAAAACTTAACCGTTATCTCTCATTCTTTCAATCTAATAAGTTGAAATATAGGCTATACATTTGGCTCACATACCAGGAAATTGGAATCCATTTTCCATGTGATATATGGGTGGGAACTTATCGCCAAAAAGTTAAAATTTCTATTACAATTAAATCCTAAAAAAATTGAGAACCTTTTATAAACCATAAGTACACAGAGGCGCTAGGGGGTAAAAATCTAACAAATAAAAAAATCTAAATTATAAACTGGACCAATTTCCTCATAGCTATTTTTTCCCCTTGCAGCTGATCCAAAGGTATGTCCTATACTTGGATCTCTCCAAAGTGATTTTTTCGCGGCATGATCCCGAATTTCAAATATTTAGTGTCCGAGCATTTTTTATTCCAGCCCAACCCGAGTTCGATTAAAAAAAATTAGGAATTTGAAGTTTCAATTTTATGATATCGAAAGGAAAATTATTTTTAAATTTATATCCATTCTCATTGATAAAGCAAAAATTATCAAATGAAAATATTTTATAACTTTTAATAACAGATTAATATTCTAGATTTTATGTTGGCTAAATGTAAAATAAGATATATATTTTAATTAACTTGATATATAAGCAATTAGTAAGTAATATAAAGTTTTTACTATTCGCAATACAAATCACAATCAAAGGAAATTGTTAATTTTTGGAAGCGGAAATTGCGTAAAGGAATAAGTGAAATGTGTTAGATGAAATAGACATGTGATTCTGATTGACATTTCAATGAAACAAAATGATTATTGAGAGTATATTTATATTTAATTTTCGGATCGGGATTCAAGTCGAGCTGCCTCTTACAGTCGAACCTGAGTCCGAGAAAAAGTCTTCAATGTTCGTTCGGAAAGCCTGTGTAGGTATCTAGCTAAACTATAGCGGATATCAAATTAAGTTCGCGTAGTTTTTTTTTCAAGTAAAAGATACGAATTCGAGTGGTGTCTCATGTATTATATATATATATTTACCTAGTATTGTTAAATGGCGTGATTATTAAAAACGGCTAGCCCAATATTTTAGCCAAAAAATATTATGCAAGCTTGGAAATTTTGTTCATAATTGGCAGAAAAAATCTTGATACTTGCGTAATAATATTTTGACTAAAATTATAATTCCAAATATAGCATAAGTAACAGTGCAGTGCATAAATACACCAAAATTTTCCTTCATTATTTTTGCAGATGTGCGTTTAGCCTTGATTTGGCTTTATTTTTTTTCTAATTATTAAAAATTTATAGCATGTTTTGTTTATTATCTAAAACTACAACCTCTTCTCAAAATTACTGTTTTCTAGATCAAATTGCCACATTAAAAGGAGTAAGAAGCAATAAACATCTATGAATGAGAAAAAAATAAAATTTATGCATAATTTTACATGGGCCAGGCTGTATTTTATTTTTTTTAATTATGCCCTGATTAAATACCCGGGCCTAAAATTTATTTTTTAAAAAAATATCCGGACAGGGCAAACCCGTATATTTTAAATCACCATTATTAGCTTAGCTATATAAGTTAAAAATAAATATAATATTTTTAAAAAGGCCGGGCCGAAAAAAAATTTTTGAAAAAATATCCGAGCCGGACCGTGCAAATGGTACCTTTGCAGGTCTCTGATAATTATATCCATTTTGTTTTATATTATTTAAAAAGCTGTAATTTTAATTATATTTTTATAATTCCCAATTACTAATTAACTTTATTTTTTTATAATTAATTTTAAATTACTTTTTAATAAAACAAAAAACTGTATTCTATAAGTTATGAATTACTGCCCAATCGTTATTTAGAACTTTTAAAATTCATTCATTTATATTAACAAATATAATCAAATAGATTCAAGCCATAGTCGATAAATTGAATATCCAGGTTGACAATCTATGCCAGTTCTTACCCCAGGATAGGGTGGCTGATTTTGCAAAGATGAACTCTTGCGAATTATTGGAAAACACTGAAAAAGCTGTATGTCTTCTTTACCTCTTTTTTTATTTGAATTTTTTTTCCTTCATAGCTTTATTTTATTAGGTATTGTTATACCCATTATTTAATTATGCCTTTTAAGGTTGGAGACACCCAACTCTACGAAAAGCATCAGCAACTTAAGTCTCTTTACACTGAAATTAATGAAGTCAAGAAAATGGCTAAGAACACTGAACAACTTTTAGGTTAAATTTAATTTTAAATCAATGTTTTTTTAATTAATGCCCCTAAAATTTTGTCTAGTTCTAAATTTTAGAATTTACATACCGTGAAGTCGTTTCCCATTTTAGAAATTTTAAAAATATGTTATATTTTACAATTTTAGTTTAATATTTCTACTGGAGGTCTGTGGCCTATTTTTTCTAAAAAAAATTAATTTATGGCGAGATCGGGTCTAATTTTTCGACAAAATTCTGGATAGGTCAGGTTTTATTTTAAAATATAATTGATATATTTAAAAAAATTTCAAGAAATATGGCTCCAATATTTTTTATAGAAATAATCAAAAACTCGATTATATTTAATGTAAAAATGTAAACTATAACTGAAAAAAAAATATTCAGGTCAGGCAGACAAATAATTTTTATAATTATTTCGGGTAGTGTTAGTCACGGTATGGACCGATAAGACCGGACCACGGTCCTCAAATTAAAGACTAGTCAGACAATGGTCCGAACAAAAAAGATCGGTCCTTTTTGCTATTTTAAAAATATTTTCTTTTTTTACCTAATTTGATTCATGTTTTATCATTTTATTAAAATATAAAAGTATTTAATATGGATAATAAAATAAATAATACAAATATTGATATAAAATAAAATGCTTTTTTTTGACAAAATTTTCTTTTTAATTGTATATTGAAAAATTAAAATGAACTAAAAAAGTAAATAGAATCACAAAACTAAAGTAACTCCTCTAGTAATATAAAATAAAATTACTAAAAAATTATATGAATTGAATAATAAAGCAAACTTAAATATTAACAAAAGACCAATCCAGACGGCGGTCCTCGAAAAAAGACGGTTCATCAATCTGTTCGGTTCCATTCTAAGATCTATAGGATCTTACCTTCACCATTTTGGGACAAATAAAAAAAGGTTCTTTGGAATTGAGAAAAATTTCGGACCGAGCTGGGCTTAAAATATTAAGCTCTATGCAGATAACCCTAGGGAAAATTACTCGCTAAAATTATATAAATAACAAGCTCCTTCAAAAATTAAGCCTTCTTGGCTGATTTCCTCCAAGTAGGACATGGAATAATAATGGTGGCTGAATATTTTTCTTTAACAAATGGCTTCAAGCATCACTACCTTTTTATTTAGTTCTGAATTCAGTGTTTCTACTCTTATTTATGATAAATAAATAGAGAGGAACAAAAAACAGTTTAAGTTAATCCAAAATTTTATTGTCAATTTTTATTTGTATAATAAAATGATGATTATTAAAAATTTTGTTATTTATAAAAATTTAATGAAACTTCAATTATACCTGCATTTATAATTTGAAATATATTAATTGTTAAGTCTTTTACATTTATAAAATTTTAATGAAAATTAGTTTACCTCTATTTTTATCAGAGACCTGCAGGTGCATTTGCACGGCCCGGCCCGATTTTTTTAAAAAAAATTTCGCCTCTGCTACGGTTTTATATTCAGGCCGTGAATTTACTTTTATTTTTTTTAAAAAAATACGAAAAAAATTGTTTTTTAAAAAAACATATCAGAAACGGAAAGGGCTCAAAATCAAAGATTGGAACAAGAGGTGCAAAATTTTAAAAGCAAGCGTAAATTTATTCAACAGATTGAAAACATGAAAAAGAAGATATCTTGGCTAGTAAAAAAAACAATTTATATATTATTTTTGTTTCATTGTTTATCCTTTGTGAGAGTTAATTTTAAATATTAAAAGTGGGTCACATTTTTGGTGGCTGATAGGTTTGTAATTTAAAGGCGTAAATTCGATTGTATTATAAATCGATATTTATTTTTCACATATTTTTAAATTGTCAGTCCCAGATATCTGCAAAACCCGGCCCACAAAATTATAACGAGCTGGGTCTGGCAATTTATACGGAAAAAATTAATGACCTGGCCAGGCAATTCACACATAAAAAATAAGCTGGGTCTCACATATTGAATATGATTAATATTGAAGACCTGGCCAGGCAATTCACACTTAAAAAATAAGCTGGGTCTCACAATTCTCTATTATTGAATTTGATTAATATTGAAGACCTGACCAGGCATTCACACATAAAAAATAAGCTGGGTCTCACAATTCTCTAATATTGAATTTGATTAATATTGAAATTACCAACAACGAGCTTGTTACTTTTTATTTTAAGAACTGTCTAACTAAATAAAATAAACACAATTTGTTTCAACTTTGGCTGGTCACATGTTAAAGTTTATTTGGTAGGTTAAGAAAAATTTTAAAAAAAAATATTTCATATATTTCTTAATATTATTTTTTATTAACTGTTAATTCTTTTCGCTTAAACATTTTAGTTATATTAGGAACTAGCCCAGCCTTTGGCTGAAGAGAATGTATCCTGAAAATCACAAATGGTGTGGAATCAGATATACTTTTTAAATATAAAAAATAGCATACTATAACTTCCATTCCTGATTTGTGCAAAATAAAAAATAATCAATATCTTCAGTAACATAATTTATAAAAATGAGTATCAATTAGAAATATATTTGTATTTAATGGTTGTATCTGTGATAGATTAATGATATTATTGAATTTAAATTAAAGAGATAGAAATATATTTATAATTTTAATAATAGGTAAAATAAATTTATATTTTACCTATTATATTTTTATTACCCATTGAGTGCCAGGGATGTAAAAAGAATTTAATAATTATTATATGGGAAGTAAGGGTGAAAAAAATGTAAACTAAATATAAATATTGTTTACTGTAATATTGGCAAAAGTATATTTCAAATAGAGAACAATATTTGTGTTGGAGATTAATAGGTAAAATCATAAAAAATAATGATGTAACGGTCATAAGCAGAATTATAATATTAATAGAAAAGTATGCTGAGGAAAAGCAAATAATACCTTTCTAAAAAAATAGAATCCCGTAACAGAAATATGATGTAATATATTAATTATATAACAACTAAATTATCATCTTATGAATACTTAAACTAATGATTTAGGCATATAAGGGGAGAGAAGCCATGATATACTACGTTGTTTGTAATAACTGTGTGATCATTGGCAATGATCTGGTTATGAGGAAAACATACGAGATATAGCGACATATAGTTGGCCATGTAAAAAGCGTTGGGATAAATAGAGGTCAACAGTTTGCAACGTTTGACCCTGAGTGTTTTTAATTGTCATTAAAAGCAGATGAAAATTGACGCTGCCTTAAAAAGAATGGTAATCCAGAATCATTTGGAAAGGTTATTCTTGGAATGAAAACTAGTTCCTAGAAAGGTACCAGAAACAAATTCCCCTTTATTTAAATTTTGGCGCAAAGATATAATAATAAATATAGTTAAATTTTTTATGCAAAAGCAGAATTTAAATTGTGTATTAAAATGATAAATACGCCGATTTTAAATATATGCTTATGATAGGGTTATCCTGATATATTTAAGTAGTATAAAAATTCTTTGGGATACAATGTAGCCTTTTCTACGCTAGTCATCTCAACAACACTTGTATATATGTAGGAAATTTGTTAATCAATGGTGTAATTGAATCAATTAACCTTGAAAATAAAGGCAATTTGTAATTAATTGTTATTCAAATTATATTTGTTGATTATGTATAATGATCAATTGATGTATTTATATTGATTTGTAAAAGATATATAAATTGACGAAATTAATTACAAAGATATAATAAAATTATTCATTGTTTTCATGATAAAATGGAATATACATTTATGTTTTTAGAGGTCAGCATGGCATTATCAATAAATGATGATTGGCTAAAGGGCAGATGTTCCTTTCAAACTTAATAAGATCCTCAATTTTATTTAAAGCAATATAGCAATCATCAGAAATTTTTATTTTTTTCTGGAGCCATTTGATATTTTTTTGCCTTCGCCAACCTTTAAAATAAAATTTGAATAATTAGTATCGGTGATAGATACCTGAGCTTTTTGGAATTGTAGCAGTCTCATATTCCCAAACGCAAGAACAATATGTGACCATAATTCAATTTTGGATATCGGATCTGGCAAAAATCTCCGCTAAAAACAACGATTTTATCCACCAAATGGTCTATCAATTTTTAAGATATCCTGAAAGGATCCATCCACGGCTTCAAATATATGTTTATTTGTCATGATATTCTGTCCTATATTATAATAGCAGCCTGTCTTACATTTGACTTTGGCAAGATATATTACAAGAGGAACTCTCATGAATATTTAAGGGGTTGTTAAATCTGAATGGGCAGTGCGTCCATTATAGTTGAAGCTATACCAGAAGATGCAACAGGCATATCAGTTTTGCCTTGAGCTCTTAATTAGTATAATATCTTGTTTAAAAGATAATATTTTCCAGTACCTCCAAACTATCTACGATGAATATATTATGAATAGTATCAAGTGGTAAGGATATAAAATAATATGGTCCTGGATATTTTTTGATAGCGATTGTATTTTGTAGTTTGAGATAATTTTTTTATGCATATCTTCAGTGTCGTATTCTTCTAAAAAAAAGGAGAGGTTGAATATTAATACATAAGATGGAGAATGGGGGAATATTGTAGAGGCATTCCCAAAAAATTAATAAAAGATTTATCATTTTGAAGTAAATTGATTTGTGTGGATTAAAGCGAAATTCTCGCTGTAAACATTATTATCAGAGATATGTTTCAAATCTAGAATAAAATCTCCACAAGGAAATACTTTAAAGAGTGCCATAAAGCAACAGACTCTCGAGACTCACAGTGTAAAAATATAATAGCAAACACAGTTAAGACATTGTTATAGTTCTCTCATTCTCTAAACATCTTCCCCATTCGACATCATTTGATAACAAACCTTGTCTATTACATACATCCAGTGATGCCAACTTGTCTCTGCAATCGTTAACCCTCTTTTAAGTATTTTCTCCTGCCTTTCCTTAAGTTGTATCAATTTCTCTAAATCGTTCTGTTCAATAACTTCATCCGAACTATTATCATCAGATAAAATGGGCGTTGATATTGGTTTAATCCTACTCTAAATTAACAAGATGTCTTTTCGCACAAATTATTTATCATTATTAAGTAATATCTATATTCATACCGTTTATATTTAAATAAATTGAAAATATTAAAAAAATCTCAATTAATATATGTTAGTCGTCTGACTAGTGATGTAGAGGCTACATTTTATCCCACACAATTTTTAAACTCCTTAAATATATATCAGGATTACTCCAGCACAAACTTTCACTTAAAATTGGCGTATCTATCATTTTAATGTCCAATTTAAATTATGCTTCTAGCTTAAACAATAAAACTAAATTGATTATTACATCTTTGTGCCTAAATATAAGAGGCGGAATTTATATCTGTTACCTTTCTAGGAACTCGTTTTTATTCCAAAAATAACCTTAATTCCAACTGATTCTGGCTTACCAGGCGTAGTCAATTTCCCGTTGAACCTGCTTTTATAATGACAATAAAGCTCAGGGTTAAACGTTGCACAAATTGGCCTCTATTTACCCCAACCAGTCATTTTACATGGTCAAATATATGTCGCTATATCTAGTGGATGTTCTCCTCATAAATCTGAGATCGTGACCAATGATCACAGATTTATTACAAAAAAGTGGTATATCGTGAGTTTCAATCTAATTAATTACCTTACACACCTAAATCATTAGGCTTCATATTCATCGAATATATGAAAAAGTGAAGATAGTAATATTGTTGTTATGTAAATAATATGTTATATCATATTTTAAGGGATTCTATTTTTTTAGAAACGTACTATTGCTCTTCTTCAACATAGAATTCTATTCATACTTCACTTCTGTGTATGATTCTCCAATGACCGCTACATATTTTTACTATTATAATATGATTTTAAATTTATGCTTAAGGAACATATTTTTTTTTGAAATAACCTATTAATCTCCTACACAAATATTGTTCTCTATTTGAAATATTCTTTACCATTATTACAGTAAAGGTAAACAATATTTATATTTTATTAGTTTACATTTTTTCCACCCACATTTCTCATACAATAATTAGGTTTATATTCAACATGGATTTTCAATGAGTAATAAAAATATCATATAAGATATAATTTATTTTACCTATTAATAGAATTACAGACATATTTTTATTTCCTCTTTAATTTAAGCTTACACTAATATCATTAATCTATCACAGATACAACCATTCTTTTCAAATATATTACTAAGATATGGATTATTTTGCATAAATCAGGAAAGGACGATATATGCTATTTTTATTATTTAAAAATTGCCATTTGTGAATCCCAGGCAACTCTCTCTGGCTAAAACCCAGACTTAGACTACGCCCTAGTTTAAATATCGTTGGTAACTTGTGTAAAAAATCTTAACAGCCAGACCTTGCGATCTCTGACATGAACATTTAAAAATATAAATAAGCTCTCGCTTCCCCTGCTTCCTTTTCTTGAAAATTGGTCAATTTAATCAGATAAGCTAGAAATAATTTATAAATATATTCCTTTAAATTGCAAAGGTATATAGCAAGCGTAAACAGGATCTCGATACCAAAAAAGCCTCCCTCAAAACTCAATTGAAAAAGTTGGAGGAATCAAAACGTTCGTTTAACGAAAAGGAAAAAAATTATTCAGAAGCTGAAACTTGTATCAAGAAGTATTCTCAACTGTTTGAACAAAAAGTACAATATTTTCAATTAACCTACTTTTTTCTTCTTTTATTAGTGGCCATTAGAATTAAGTTTATATCCAATAATTAGAATCCTGCTTGATCTTTTAGTTAGAATCGAATATGCCATAAATTCGTTAAGTTAACTATTTTGTAATGAGACTGAGAGGAAATAATTTTTTTATAAAAAAAGCCTAACAAATTTTATTTGCAATAGGTGGATGCTATTGACAACCTGCTTGATTCGAGACTCATGCCCACTTTGTTGCAATGCCGGTCTTTATACTCCAACCAGATCTCGCAAGCTAAGGACGATTACGAACTCAAGCTAGACTCCATTCAAATAGGCAATAATCAAATTGTTAGATTGACCAGCGATATAAGTGAATTGGAGAAACAGTCAGCTAACGAGAGTTCCAAATTCGAAAAAGTTCAGGTATGTATAATATTTGCTGATTATTCTTATTAAAAGCCTTGCATTTTATTTTATTTTAAAAAAGAGTTTGTATTTTCTTATTCCGCATCCCTCAATTCAAATCGAGTTTAGATTTTTAAAAAATGCGAATCCATTCAAGGTTTTAACATTGAAATAGTTAATTACCTATGTGTATTAAATTGGGATATCAAGTGCAAAGTTTTAAGATTATTTAAAAAGCAATTTGACATAAAATATTTTTCATAATCCCACCAAAAATTTCATTAAAACAAATTTGTGTAATTCCATTTTCGTATATGATTTTTATTAACTCAAAATTAACTTCTATCAATCTATTATTATCCCGAAGTTATTTACTATATCTTATTTTGTACACCAAATTATTTTAAAATCTAAAATCGTCAACAGAAACGTTATTGTGAGATAACCTGAAAAGTTTATTTTTTTAAAAAAATAAAATAGGCCTGCTCAAAAGGCATAAATTAGGCATTCTAAAAACAAATTTTCTCTTAAAATTTAAAGCCTGAACTAAAAAGATCGTTAGGAGAGAAACGTGAACATCATCAAAAATTAAGTCAAAACAAATCCTTGGAGGAGAAAATCAAAAACGATTTCGAAAATTTGAATGCTGAAAAACAAAGTTTAAAATATATATATTATAATTTTATCGAATTATTATTGTTTATGGTCCACCATTTTATTTTTGCTATCAAAAAAAAGAAATATTGCGTGACATTGAGTTTCAAAGGTCAAGATTTGATTACAAACTCGAAAATATCAAACACAAGTCTCAAGATGCTTACAAGGCCTATCAATGGTTAACCTCCAACCAGCACCTATTCAAACACAAGATTATAGGACCCATATCCTTATACGTAAACAACAAAAAAATTATGAAAAAAGGAATAATGTTTTTCAGAGGGAAACATAAGATGGGAGAAGATTTTTTGTAAGAAAACATAAGATAAGAGAAGGTTTTTTTAGAAGGAAACATAAGATGGGAAAAGGTTATGTGTCTCCAAATCGAGTCAGAAGTCTTGATATTAAATTACATTTTATCCAAAAATATAAAACAAAAAAAAACAACCTGAACTGACTCGTTAAAATTTTTAAAACGTTTTTGGCTTGATAAATAACAAGTTGTCAAGCCTGGCTCTTTTATAAAGGGAAAAAACATAAATTTGCTTAATTCTTAGCTTTAAAAGAAGTTCTAAAAATCCAACGCGGCCTTTATAAATATTTTGCATAGGTTCAGTGGCACTGACCTCTTAATCGAATCTAATTTCATTACTCTAATATAAGTGTATTATATTTCTCTTTTCGCTTCTTTTTTTAAAAAACTTAATTTTTAAACAAAACTTTAAATACTTATGCGATTTATTTTCAAGATGAAATTCAAAAGTCTGGAAGGTTCTCAATACATGGAAAATCAGATAGGATTCTAGGAATGGATGGGATTTTTGTTAATTATAAACAGAAAACTTTAAATACTTTTGCGATTTATTTTCAAGATGAAATTCAAAAGTCTGGAAGGTTCTCAATACATGGAAAATCAGATAGGATTCCAGGAATGGATGGGATTTTTGTGTTTTGACCAAAGCGATTTTGTGCTCTTCTTGCGAAAAGTCAGAAAGGAATTGAATTTAAAAATCACAATATTTTTGGAAAGATTTATCGATATCCCCCATCAAGGAAATAATCAGAATGATAGAAGCAGAAGGTCTTCTAATGTATCAGGTAAAAATTCTATTTCATTCCTTTGACCAATTATGTTTCTTTATGATAACCCAGAAACAGATGATCTCATAATAATGCAAAAAGGTGGGGATCTAATATTTTTTATTTTTGTGACAAAATAAAAAGGTGGTAACCATAATACAAGCTTATCGAATAGATTGGTAGAAGACAGCGAAAAATTTGATAGAATGTATTCTGATTTAGATGTCGCAAGAACCGATTCTGACCAATGTCCATTTACTTCTTACATCAAATCCAATTATGCACCCTCTCAGTGAGCCTATTATATTTTTCTTAAATCATGTCTATTTAATAAAACCTTGAATCTGATAATATTTTTCAGATTCGGCTTGATCAAAGAAAATTTTTAAAATAAAGGTGGGGAGAATGTCTGTTATTGGGTGCGAGCTGGTTGGGCAGACTCTAATTATAACTAGTGGAGTAATTCTTTTCAAATACCATGATGTGATTCCTATACTGTCAATTCTTTGATTTTTTAGGACTCATCTTATTTTTTTTTACCGCTTTTCTTGTTTATTATTGGATTTTTTAAATATCTATTTAATTTAAAAGATACCTATTTGTTTACTAATGAGAAAAAAAAAATTATTATCTGATTTTTCCCAAAGTTTATATTTTAAGATCAAATTTATCAAAATATGTTATTTTTAAATCTCAATATAATTGTAATTTATTTTTAAAATGGAAATTTAAAAAATAAACGAAGGCAGTTTATTCTCTGAATCCCACTAAATAATGTAACAAATTTTTATCAAATTATTCCTAATCAGCTAAAAAAAAGTGGTATTGGTGTACCTCTCCCTTTTACCAGGGTTGTGAACCCTCATTCTACAAAAGGGTTCTGGTTCAGTGAAATATCTCTGAAGCGGGTTCAGGGTTTGTGGTTCAAAAAAATATAAAATTTAGTAAGAGTAACAGGAACATCAGTTTTATAAAAAAAATTAACTATATTTAGCCCTTACCATATATCTTATAATTAGAATATATGCGAATTATCATGATATCATCCATAATCTAAATCTAGATTTTAAAAATAAAATTTTGATTTTTTATGCCCAACTCTGATAGTTCATTGCAACTTGCATTTAAATTACGCCCTTGTGATTATGTTATTTCTTTGGTTTTATGTTTGATTTAATTCAACAAACAAAATATATCATAGATCTGAGAGCTGGACTCACTTTTTAAAAGAAGATGCCAGTAATAAAAAAGGTTACATAATAATATGTAAATATTGTGACCTTAAATACACTTTCTGAATCCTATCAAAATGACCGCATGTCAAGGTTTGTGGTAAATTTTCTGTTAATTTGGAAGCAGAAATATTAAATTTTCAAAATGATCGTTATTTACACTTAATAAATCATATATTTGAGATATATTTGCTTCCCTTAATGAGCCAAATGATAAAACCTTAGGTTATATATAGTTTAGAAAAATTAATAATGCTACATGAAGATGTTGATTCGACTATATCAAGTGAAAATAATATTACATTTACACATATTGATAATGATATCGAATGAAGTTTTATTGTTTAATCAATTTTTGATGGAATATTTTTATATTAACAGATAAAATAAATGAAGTTATTAAATTATGGCTTTATTATTATGTCTGTTCGATATATCGGAATCGGATCAGCGCGGTTTAGTCTTTTTAGAGAAAATATAAATCGACCTGATATCATTAAAAATCCATCCGTTTATTAAAATAATGAAAAGCGTAATAAACCATAATTTATCTTTGGCACATCCACTTTTATTCAAAAAAAGTTGTTTTTTATTTTTTAAAAAAAGGAGATTCAAATGAATGATGCATTTATCAATATAAATTTGCTGTCAAATAAAATATTATTTGGATATTTTCTTATTGATGATATATTATATCTTACAAACCGAGAATATTATAAACATTTTATAAACCAAGAAAACACACTTTCGAATATTAAATATCATTTTAAAAATTCTCAAAAAATACAATGTTTTATATTAAAAAATATATATCTAAATTAATACATAGTTAACCATATGATTTCACATAAGGAAAGTCAGCCCATTAAAATAAAATCAATACTATATCCTGTCATTTGCAACTGACAGATGCAACATTATTTTTATTACCTGAGAAAAAAAAGTTTAAAGAAAAATGATTTTACTGCAATTTTTTGTTTAGTAATATACCCGATCCCAATTCAAATCCTAATGATCTAAACCACATACTATCGTTCATGTCCTTGTTTGATTGTCACCTCAGAGACTATATACACAGCTGTCCCTTCGAGATTGCCAATTTCTTATGTAGGAAACACAAGATCCACGAAATTCCTATCTGCAGGAAGGAAGAAACCATGAGCTCCTCAATCAGTAAATAATATATCTATTTCATCTTGTTGGATCTAACCTGGCTAATTTGTTTTCTTATTTTAAACACTCTTTTTTAACTAATATTTTTTTTGTTTTCTGAAGACACTAAAAACATTTAAAAATCTATTTTCTTTGGTCCTAAACTATAAATTAATTGTATTCTATAATGACCTTATCCTTATACTATTTCTTTTTCTAAAAGGACCTCATTAGGGGTATTTTCAAAAAACCTTATATAATTGTTCTTAAAAAAGTACAAAAAAAAGAAATGAACATTCTAACAAAATGCAAGCAATTATTCTCAATGAATATTCCCATTAAATTATCAAGTTTTTACGCGCTTTCTACTCTTGTAAAAATCACGCGTTCACGGTACAGACCAGGCGAGCCTTGCCTTGATCAGACCCAGGTTAATTTTTATCGATTATATTATACATTAAAATTCCTTCCAAGACGGATAAAAATAAATGAAAGGCAGAATAGAAAGAATCAAATATACAAAAGAGGAAGGGGTCAAATAAATCAATTAAAGATAAGAAAATTGAATGAGAAATTAGTTTTACATTAATTTATGAATTAATTGAATCCAGGTCAGGAATAAATCCAACTTCTTCACGCAATATCACGTTTTCAATGAGGCAGATAATAAAGATTCTTATGATGATGCATATAAAGTAAATTTAGAATAGAAGCTTTAAAAAAATATTTTTTACCTTCATACATTGAATAATAGAGGAGATAATAATTTCAAAATTTATAAAAAAAAATATTCTCAGCTCCCCTAAATAAATTTTTTTTAAATAAGAGTAATATTTTATTTCATAATAATCTGGTAAAAATACTTGGGATTTAAATAGTCCACTTTTCACAAAGTATTTTAAAATGCCAGGAAAAGCTATTTTAAATGGTTGTTTAAGATTTAATCTATTTTTCAAACTAAATAAACCGGAATATTTTTGCCCGGCATTTTTATATATCGGTTTTGGTTATATGATTAAACGGAATCTGTTTTTGGTTTAGGGATAGGTGAAATTTTTTTTATTAAAACTTAAAGAAAATCTAATTATATTATTTTTACTACTGATATTATCAATAATAAATAAACAATTTTTAAGTTTCTAATTTATTTTATCTGAGACAATAAATTCAACACATTTACAATATATGATATATAGAAATTAGAATCTCAACTTTTACAAAGTAACGAAGCCCTGAAGGCATGTAAGAGCAAAGAAAAAGAACTCTCAGATGCCATCAGACAAATTAATACGCAAATTCAAGAGCTCAACAAACACAAAAATACCCAAAATATTATAGAAACAAAGCTTAAATCCCTTAAGGCTAGGTAATTACATTTTAAAACTCATTTAAATCTAGTTAGTATACGTAAAATAATTTTTTTTTTAAATAAAAAGGCGAAAATACCTAGAATTTTAGTTTTCAATTTTTATGGGATAATTTCGTGTGTATCTTATGTAAAAATTGCCGCTTATAAAATTTGCATATAAAACATTATATTTAGGTTTCTTTTATATAAATAAAGCTTATCAATAATTAAATAAAGAAAACATGATTTTCCCAAACTTATAATTTGGGTGAAATTTTGCTTACAAACAAGGTACACGTAACTAAATGTTTATTTTTCGAGATATCCAAGGAAAGTATGAAAATGGACCTATTTTTACTTTTTTCGATTGTTATTCAATAAAGATTTAATAAACGCTACAGAATTATAAATAATAATTCTAATATCAAAATAAATGTATACATTCTATTTTTCTTTAAATATACGATCCATTTATTCCTATTCGAAAGTTTAATATTATTATAAAAATATAATGAGTTTCCTCGACATATATGAAATTTTCAGCAAATGTTATTAAGACATTTTGTTTTTTAAAAAAATTGGAATACCAAGTTTTCAATTTATGGTTAAAATATATACAAACACAAATTCAAAGAATATATTTTTAGCATAATATGTAATAAATTGTTTTAGATATGATTTAAAATGTTTTTGTATGATATTCTTGTAAAGAATATACAACACGGGTTTATGCAATATTTAAATTTTTATTGATAAGAAAATATTTAAAACAGAAAATATAAATTTTTTTATTTGAGTAAATGTATCAGTATGTTATATTATAAATAATTAAGGATGAACATTTTTTTACATGTATTATACAATATTACCCCATATTTATTAAACCTTAATCCTTACGTATTATTATTAAAGTATAATAAATACATTTTATATTTTATTAGAACAATTAATTTACTTATGATATTTATTAAACAAAAAAAACCTTGTTTTCCCTGTTTTTATCAATGAATAGCGAATAATTTTTGCTTTTCAATTTTTTACAGAAATGGATTGGTCTTAGTGGCATTTGCTTAAAATTCGATAAAAATCTGCTTATTTTTATATTTATTTTAAACTTTAGAAGGGTTAAATGGACCGTTACTTTAAAAAATAGAATGTATTGCATAAAGTGTTGCTGTTTCGTAATCGGCTAATAGTCAACTACAAAACGACTTAGCCTAGATTTTAGGCGAAAAAATCGGATAGGCCTAATTAGGCTTAGCCTAAAAATCGGTTAAAATGTAATTAGTCAAAAATTCTGCATCGATTAATCGCCCGTCAGCGTTCCTTAAGATATGTCTAGCATTAATTTTTTTTTTAGTAAAATAATTTATATTTTATTATGAAATGAAACATGAATATTTTATTATGAAAATGGATTTATTTCTTTGATGATAATATGTAATATTATTTTTGTTACAATTTTATCCAAATTTTAAGCTAAAAATATTTTTTGAACATATTTTGATTTGATAAGAATTTTAAATCTTCTTTGTATGTAAGTATATCTTTTTTTGAGGAATTCTTTTGCGATCTTTTATAGTTTATTTTAATCATTTTTGTAAAATTATCTCTTTTCTAAAGTATATTAAATGAGGTTGTTTTATTCTAAAAAAATTTTTTAAAAATATTAATATTAAACATTTTTTTTATGTTATTTTATATGATCTTTTTAAGTATAATATTATAATGTGACAATTGTCATATTCGTTTTTTTTACCATTTTTGAAATTTTTTGACACAAAAGGGTAAAAATAATATTTATATATAAAGATGTTAAATTATAAATTCAAATGAATAAAGGGTTAAAATATTTATAACAGTTGTTTGCGCTTTTTATATTTTCTTTATAACGGTTCAGTTGCGGTTTAGAAAATTATAACGGTTCAATCCGGTTTTATTGGTCAGTTCGAAACCCTGATTACTTGATATCATACCATTTTCACATCTCCATAAAGCCACCGATGAGACTTGATACTTTTCTATGGTATATCTTTATGAAATTTTAATTTAACATGTTTACAATCTATATTTTTACCCATTTGCGTCAAAAAACTTTAAAAATGATCACTTTTATATGGTACATTTTATTTAAAATTTTAATTTAACATGTTAAAAATACATATTTTGCCCATTAGCGTCAAAAAAATTTTATATTGTTTAAAAATACCGATTATGATAATTGTCATTTTTCCAAGGAACATCTTCATTGAATTTGTAATTTTACATCTTTATAAATATTATTTTTTGTGCAAAATTTCAAAAATGTTAAAAAATAACGAATATGACAATTGTCACATTATAATATTAAGAAATATCATAAAAAGTTTAATATTAATATTTATTTACAAAAATAATTTAAAAAAGATATATTTACAAAGAAGATTTAAAATTCTTATCAAATCAATATGTTCAAAAATCTTTTTGAACTTCAAAAAATATTTTTTGCTTAAAATTTTGGGCGTGAAAATCAGTAATAAATTGTAATAATAATTAATGTTAGGCAGTCTTACGGAACGCTGACGGACCATTAGCCGATGCAGAATTTTTGACTAATTAAGTTTTAGCCGATTTTAGGCTAAGCCTAATTAGACTTAGGCTTAGTTTTTAGGCTATTATGTAACACTAATTGCATACACTTTATTTTGATTTTAAAGTTACTATTTATTATTCTGTAGTTTTTAGTGAATCTTTAATTGAATGATATTTGATTAGCCTAAAAATAGGTCATTTTTTATACGTTGACCCTTGATATTTTCTAAAATACAAGAACTAGGATAATCCAAACACTTCTTTAGTTACATATACCTTAGTTTGTCAAAATTTTACCCAAATCTCAAAAGATTTGGAGTATGGCTATCGATTTGACATTGAATGCTCACAATTAAAATGAATTAACCAACAAACACAGACTAGATAACGAAAAGCGAAATATGGTAGATGCCGACCTCATAAAGCGCCAACTAGAGGAAAAATTGCAAGCTATAAATTCAGAAATTTATGTCAAGCTCAAAGCCAATTCCCGCGCATTCAAGGTTATTATAAAGAGAATAAATACTATATTTATTTTTATTGGCCAAAAATTAGATAAGTGACATTGATTTGTTCTATTTTATTTATTTTTGAAAAAAATTATTAATCTTTGAGAAATAAGCTGGAGTAGGTATTTGAACAAGTCAAGCACAATCGGTCAATTTACTGCTCAAAGTCAAAGGCAATTATATTTTTATATGACTATTTATTTTATTTGGTATATAATAAAAGTAAATAACTTTACATAATATGTTCATAAATGATTTGGCAAATAGTTTATGATATTTTGGTTGATCCATTCTAAAAATAATGTTTCGTTTGCTTTGGCAGAGTTTTTTTGGGATTCAATGGAGTTATCATCATTTTTAATTAATCATAAGTTCTACTTGATATTTCTATAGTTAAATCGATTTTGGCTTGGTATGTTTGGGTTGGGTCGGTAAAATACTTTTCTTCCTACAGGTCTCGTTGTAATCGAAAAAATTACTATTCGCAGGTATCTAGCAGGATTAGCATATTCGTTTAAACAGCCAGCGAATTTAGCCATAATTCCAAATATTTTTTTAATAAAATTTTATTTTTTAATTTATATTTTATTTGATAAAATGATTTTCTAAATAGCAGATTTTATATTTATTACATGAAAAAGAAATTGTAAGGATCACTTTATTTTATGAAAAATTTTGATATTTGAATTTATTTTAGAATAAATTAATTAAAGGATATCGCCATCATCGGCGATACTCCTAAATTTAGAATAAAATATCATCGTTTCTTTTATGGTTTTCTTAATTCTTTTTTTTTAAACCTTTATCAAATATGCACACATATTATTGTAAAAATCAATACATAAAATATCATCGTTTCTTTTATGGTTTTCTTAATTCTTTTTTTTTTAAACCTTTATCAAATATGCACACATATTATTGTAAAAATCAATACATAAAATAAATCTTATTCATATTTTTTTAGATTTTATATACTAATTTAAATTGTTAATTTTTGTTTTAAAATCAAGGTTCTGCACAAGTATAAATTTAATATCCTTCGTTTCTCCAATTCCGATGAATTTTTTTTTAGAAGTTTACTCGAAGTCTTTATTAAAATAGCGCAGTATATTGGGAATGTTTTGGTATTTCCATTATTTAAGTCATCCATTAATAAATAAAATAGATAATTTTTCTTCAAATCCTTTATTCATTTTCAGAATTAGATGGAGTAATAAGTGTGATTTATCATAATATTTCTTTTTAAAATGAATATATATTAAATATTTTATTATTTCTTTTCTAAAAATGAAGAGGAGAATAAAATAGCTCATAACAAGATGCCCTTTTAAATCTATGATAGCATTGTAAGCGTCTGATTATACGAATTGCATTTTATATTTTCAAATTTTATAATGAAATTTCTAGAAAGCCTACATTTATTTTATAAAAAATCTGTAGAAAATGCAAATTATTAGATAACAAGAGTAAAAATCGATGGTCTGACAACTCTGGTCTCTAGTGGGATGTTTAAAAATATTATCCCTTAAAAATAGTTGTATTTGAAGCACTTCTTCATTAGATTTGAACTAGTATAAATATCCTCATTTTTTGTTAATATCGTTTTTTAGGATAAGGGGTCAGAATCGATCAGATTTCTTTACTAAAGCCGGGGCACATAGTAAAACTATTTATTAGTCTTCATTTTATCAGAGTGCGTGAAAATACATTGATTTATTCAATTACAAATTCGAGTGGGAACATTGTGAGCCACTTTTTTTTCAACTATAAATTATTTTTTGAGCACTTTTTTAAAATATTTTTAAAATCTGATTTTATCAGAAATGTATTCTACCATTTTGGATAACTTACCCTATGAATTTTACCCAATTTTGTTATAAACATTTGAACTTAATATAATTTATATTCTTTCATAGATTTTTTATAAAATGACTCATAGTTATATGGAAAAATTGTATGAACATATTAGAATACATTTCTGGTAAAATCAGATTTTAAAACTTTTTAAAAAATAGCTCAAAAAATTATTTAAAGTTGAAAAAATAACACAATGTCTAATCTTCCCACTTACCTTTTAGGTCAATTGGCCAACTTGACATACCCTGGATATAGGTATTAATTATTTACATATATTTTTATATCACCGGAAGAAGTAGCTCTATAAACCCTCCCCCCCCAGTTTTTTTAATTATATAATTTAATAAAATTTTAAACAATGTGAATATTAGGCTAGCATAGATGAGAGGGACGTCATGGTTAAGCATTGCTTATCTATCTTGCAAACTACTATCTTATCTCTGGACCAGAAAATGGGCTTGGACCAAGCTAAATCGGGTTACGAAACTTTAAAAGTAATTTTGAAAAGAGAAATACATCATTCAATAATATTTTCTATAATGGTAATTTATTTAATTCAATACTAACTCAACATGGTCATTTTTTAACAGATCGCCTTGTCAAAGATTCTCAAAGTTCTTTTAATATCCTGCAGAAAATAGAGTTTATAAATGCATTCTTGTTTAAAATTCTTAATTGCTGGTGTTCTATCTTCAAATTTTTTTCTTTAGGATAATTTAGATGAATTTAAGCAAGAAAATCATATAAATTTAAAGACAAAAATATATTTATTAATTAAAACTATAATCTAAACCGTTGATTAGAATTATATATTTTATTTACTTTAATTTTTTAAAGTCCGAGGTTCAATCGCTGAAAGAGGAATGCGATAATATGATGTCTCATTTGGAAGAAAGTGTTCGACAGCTTACTCGTAGATTAGAAACTCAGAATTTCAAAAATGCCAATAATGTGTTAACACTGGATGCTACTTTGATGACAGTATATATTTTTTTAGTTAGTCAGCATATAACTTATTCTTTGGTTAAAGGCTTCTTTACCAAAATTACTTTTACCAGGGCCTGTATTGAATTTATTTATAAAAGAAAATACCATATTAAAGCGTCAGCATGTGCCATATTTAGGATTAAGTTCGTTTTATAAAAATATGGTATAAAATAATATGTTAAATTTTACGCTTACCCATTTATTTTAACTAGTTTAATATATGTAACTTGGCTTATAATTTTTATCAAAATCACAAAAGGAATTTGAGGATCTACCTAACGATATTGACAAGCTGGAGGAGAAGATATCTTCTATCAAGACAAGAGCTGAAATGTTGGTAGTTGGAGAAAATGTATATTTTTAAATAATATAAAACATTAAAAAACCTCTATCCGGAGTTTGAATTGTCACTATAATCAAAAGATTTATTAGACTAGTGTGGGTGATGATCCAATCTCGATTTTCTAAAATTAAAAATAAAAATGTGCCAGACTGATTTTTTCCAAAATATTTTAATCAGATTGGTATTTTGCAAATCAATCTTCAGTCTTGTCTTTTGATATCGTCACTAAAGATCTGGCCTGTCAGGTAGCAAAAAAATTTCTATCTGATTTATAAATAATAAGTTACCCTACCCATGATAAATGAACATTATTAAGGGTAAAAAAGACATTTTAGAAATTCCGGGCCGGCTTTTTTTTTGCAGAGTTAGCCCGGTTGGAATTTTTTTTGGCCTTGCATATATCTGGTCCTCACTATTAATATTGCACACAAATTGAACGTTTCAACGCAACCTTTCAAAACACAAAAATGGATTCGTTTAAATTGGGCACTTTTCCGTTTTGCATTTTAAATTATTTATTAAAAAACAAATATCTTGCCTTTTTTTAAACATTTTTAAATTTTGAAATGATAGAATGGACACAACATCTTCTAAAAATACGAATAATTATATTGAATGATACATTAATATTTTAGCCTATGAAATGATGATATTAAAAAAAAATTTGCTGAAATGATTGAACTAGACGAGATAATATGGAACCAAGAACATGCTGACCATAAAAAACATTCATTGTTATGGAGCATTATTCTGTTATTGGTTTCAGGTATAAATATATAAGAATATTAAATATTATCATTAAATTAGCTTAGCTCTGGAATTTTTTGGTTTTCAACGCTTTATATCTAAGGAAAAGATTAAAAAATTATAAAGATTTAGATAAGAGGAGGCCATCGGGTTCAGAAGGTGGCAAACATGAATACAAATATAGGAAATATATAAATTTTATGCAACTGTTGCTGATAGACCGACATCTGGCAATTTAGATGCTGTGTCTCAAACATGATAAAACCTAAAATGTCAAATATATTAACAGGTTAATAAATGTATTGGAAGAAAAGCCATCTGGGATGCAGTAAAACTTATTTTTATCTATAATTTATTTATATTTTAGAGATCTGCAAAAGTAGACCTGGCCCGCTTAATTTTTTTTATCGGGTTTGGGCCAGGTCAGGACTAATATTTTTTAAAAAATTCGGGCCGGCTCGGGTCAGACCTTGGAAAGTTTTTTAAATATATCTAAATTTATCAATTTTATATTGAATTTTTTATGTAAAATAAAAAGATTTTATTTTATTTATAGAAACTAGATACCATATATGTCTTTTATTTTGAGTAATTATAAAAATTAATTTCTATATTTAAATAAATTCGGGCCCAGTTGGGCAGGTAAATTTTTTAAAAAAAATTTAGGTTCGGGCCATGTTTGAAAAATTAGGCCCGATGCATATCACTACATTTTATCGATAACCTTGTAGAGGATGCAGAAACCTTAAGTTTAGACAACCAACTTATTTAAAAATTCGGTTTCAAAATTTCTACTTCAACTAAAGACAAATGATACTTTACCAAAACCTACAAATGAATTTGTATTAGATATATTTAATAGCTTTATATAAATTAGTTATTAATTTATATCAATGATGTTTTTGTATCTTAAAAGTGATATTTATATTCTTTATATTTACATGTGATATTTATGTAATTTATATTTACGGGTTATATTTTTATATAATATTATTTCAAATTCACATTAATTAAGGTAATTTATATTCCTTATATAAAATTTAATACAAGTTAAGGGATACTTCAATTAAATTTTTCTTAACATTCAAATAATTTATTTTTATCATGTAATAACATAATTATGTATGTATGATGAATGAATTAGGTACAAAAAAGAATTAAATATAAAATATTTTTATTAATAAATTTATTACAATATAAATAAACAAATTTAATCTTCATCTTTAATGACAATTTCCAGGTTGGCCAGTTTTCACTCTGATTTTCTTTTTCATTTTTGACGGTCCTGAGCATCAATAAGTTAATTTTTCTCATATCAGATGCAATCACCTTTATATACGTCTCTTGGACCTTCCTCAAGGTCTTGATCCTCCTACTTCCATTAAGGTGCATCTCTTTCCCCAGTCATCTTTTGTCATAAACCATCTTAGTCCATTTCTTCACATTACCACTCCAATCACTTCTATACCTATTTCTCATCGCAATTCCAGACTTCCTTTTTCCCGCTACATCTTTAATGCACCCATTTCTGGCATCTGGTGCTTTGGATTTTTCTAGAAAATCCTTTCCCACATAAACCACAATACCAGTTGCCGGATTTCTCGATCTTCGGACTATCTTTACCAATCATCACCTTTGTCTTTATTGCATTCATTTTACGCCCTTTGCTTCCATAGCCATCTTCCATCTACTATTTTATCTCTCAATTCTTCCTCACTATACAAGGTCATCTAAATATAATAGCTCCCAGGGAAGTTCTTCATACATCTCTAGCCACCACATTCATTACTAAAATAATAATGGACTCAGCATCAAGTCCTACCTTCACTTCAAAGCTTTCACTATTTCCATCATCCGTCCATACCGCAGTTTGTACTCCCACATATATTGTCACTGCCATAACCAACCATTCTGCCACACCTGATTTTCAGTCCCATCTAGTAACCTCAGGTGGCACACTGTTAAATGCCTTCTCCAAAAAAAACAAAGGCATAATAGAGTTTCTTTTCCTTTGAAAAATCTTCTATATTTGTCTCACTCACTACAAAAAATGCATCTGTCATGCCTTTCCCCGGTATAAAACCAAACTGGATTTAATCAATTTTTGTTTTTTGTTCCTTTAACCGCTTCTCTAACACCCTCTAAATTACTTTCTTTGCATGTTCCAAGAGTTTAATATCTCTATAAGACCCGCAATCTAAAGGATCACCTTTCCCCTTGTAAACTGGAATAATAATTTAAATTCCCTAAAAAAAAATTTAAGAATGTTTGATTTCTTTGATGAAGAATTATTTTCTCTGTTAGGCAACAATGGTTGTGTTGTAAGAAGGTTTACCATTGTTGTATCTGTATAATTTTGGTTATTACATAATTTTAATAATATTATAAATACATAAGATGTTTAATAATATAATTATATATTTCAATTTAAATATTTGTAGCATGTATCATTATATTATGTAAGATACATATTGTTTTTATGACTATTTCTATACTAGCTAGAAGCTCAAATTTTTTAATAATTTCCCCAAAACTCCTCTCTACACTAACCTCATGTTGAATTCCCCTTTAGATTAATTTTAGTGTAGGGTTTCATCAGATAATTTGATAAAAGAAATGCATCATTCCCAACCATTACAAATGGCATGGCTAGTAATTTTTGGATGTATATCATCTCAGATTAATCCGAGAATATATGAATAGTTTTATCTTCTTGTTAATTATAAAATTTGGAATTAATAAAGTTTTCTTTTAATATATTGTCTTACACCTCTTCCTTCCTTTATTTCTGTTAAGTAAATATAGGGCAAGTATTTTTTTGTATTAAATTTAAATGTTTCATATTGAAAAAATCAAAATTAACGCTTCAATTTAAACAAACTGCGTTTACGTTTTTTTATTATTTTGAAACGCTGCGTTAAAAGTTCAATTTGTGCGCAAAGTTGAGCTATGAGTTTTTTTTTAATATGTTCGAAAAGAAGACATTTTTAAATCGCTTTTCATAATTTAATTAGGTTGTAGAAGAATACCATTCTCGTCAACTTAAAATAGATTCATTACAACAGACCCTTTCTACCTACAATGCTCAATCCTACACCCTTGCCAACAAGAAAATAGCCCCCTTACACAAGGAATGGATACGCGAATTGACGCTATTGGTGAAGAAGATAGATGAAAAATTTTCACAATTTTTTGAAAGGATTTCTTGTGTGGGCAAGGTTGAACTGATTGGGCAGGAGGAGGCAAAAATAAAAGGTTCCTTTTTAATTTAAAATATTGAATACATAATATTTCTTATCTAATTCGATCATAACTTTTTGAAATGATGGAATTTACCCCTAAAAATTTTAATTTTGCTTTTTAAAAAAAAATAAGGGCAAGATGAGGCCAAGTCTTCGTTACCTGAATACGACATGTTTAAATACGGTCTCGATATCAAGGTCCAGTTTAGACAGGAAGACACCCAAAAGAGGCTCAATCATAAGCACCAATCTGGTGGAGAACGTAGCGTTTCTACTATATTCTTCTTGTTATCTTTGCAAGTAATTTTTATTTCGAATGTTCACTTAAACATTTTATTTATATTTATGATACATACTATTTTAATAAATATCTATTTTATCTTTTAAATTTTATAAATCATCGCGTTAACCTCCCCTTCCCTCCTCCTTGCTTCATAAAGAGTAATTAATAAATTAAGATAAATTTTTAAATTATATTCTGCAAAAAATTAATATAATTTGGTATCGATCGTGGGGTATCTAATATTTAAAAGTACCCGATGGATGTGTATCGTTATGGTTGCGTCTCTGATATTGAACTTTGTCAGGATTATGACACACTCTCAAATTTTGAAATATGACCTCTACTTCGTTTTCCTTTTATAGAGATGCATTTTATGAAGACTTTACTGCATGACATTTATATATATCAGAGACCTGCAGAGGTACCATTTGCACGGCCCGGCCCGGTTTTAAATTTTTTAGGCCCGGCCTGGCCCGGATATTTTAAAAAAAAAATTTTACGGCTCGGCCCGGATTTAAAAATTTAAGCGGCTCGGAATTTTTCAAAATGACCTGGTATATACAAAAATTCACCTATGAGGTATTTTACCATATTTTTCAGCCAGTATTATCGCTTATTATTTAAAAAATGCATGTAAAAAGCTAATATTTTGAGAATATTATATTGAATTTATAAAAATTATAAAACAGTTATTTATAAAAATGGATATTTTGAGCATACTATATTTTATATTGCATTTATAAAAATAAAACTAATATTCATAAAAATGGTAATAATATTTGTCATATACTATATTTTATATTACATTTAAAAAAAATAAAACTAATATTTAATTTATAAAAATGGAAAATATTTTGAGAATATAATATATTGTATTTAATTTACTATTTAATTTATAAAATAAAAATAAATCGCTATTTAAAAAAATGCATGTATAATAAATAGTATTTTGAAAATATAATCTAATTGCACAATATTAATATAATTTATTTTATAAGATAAATTTTTAACAAAAGAAGATAATTGTATTATATAATATTGTAAAAAAAAATAATGAAAAATGTTGGATTAAAAACTTTCATGACTCAAGGTAAATATAATAAATGCAATAAATATTTGACAGTTTGCAAAGTAAAAAACCAGCATGATTGACGAAACCCTATACTCAAGAAAGATATTAAAAATTCACAAATTATCATGAAGAAAGAGAAGCATATCTACCTTTTCAGGTTGAAGATTACTTCTTCTTTCTTCAAGAATTCTCCCAGTAGTGGAAAAATTCCGCTCACAGCTTGCACTTAAAGCAGGAATTGCCAATTTTGCTAAAATTGGAAATTCGCTTTGATGAGCCGCCCACCACTTTAACAAATTATCCACCTTAAATGTTTTATCTATTATTTATGTAATTATAATATTCATCATCGGGTATTGACATATTACCAGAATTACCATCCCCCCCCCATTTGTCATAAAACGATTCAGTTTGATTAACAACAGTCGTAATTTGACTGGTCGATGGTATTTCATTTACTTCCTGAGCCTCTTGTAATTTAATATAATCTTTTATATAGTTTTCCGTCATTTTGCGATCTGTCCCTGACTACATACGTAATTGCTTGAATTTGGGACAGAGAAAAAGAGAAATAAAATGATACTTGTGTAAAACAAATTTTTCAATTAAAAAATGCTTTATATTAAGTAAAATCAATTACAAACTTTAAGAAGTGATAATCCTTTATTTGATTGTTTTGGTAAAATATATTCTAAAAATTTAGATATGAATTATAAAAAAATATATTAATAATACTTCAATATTGGGGCTTATTTAAGATATTCCTTTATTTGATTGTTTTGGTAAAATATGTTGTAAAAATTTAGATATGAATTATAAAAAAATATATTAATACTTTGAATAAATTTGCAGGAAATTAATAATTAGATCGATCTGTGGGTTGTTAGGTAGTGTTAACCATCACCCAATATTATATTAATCATAACTATAATATAATATAATCTTATAACCATTAACTCATAATGTAAAAATTTTTATAAAAAATATTAAGGCCCGACCCGGCCCGGGTTTAACAATCTTAAGCCCGGCCCGGATATATTTAAAAGAAAAAATTTTAGGCCCGGCCCGGATATGTTTAAAAAAAATTTTTTTAGGGCCGGCCCGGGTATATTTAAAATACGGGCCGGGTTTAGGGCCGGGCCTGCAGGTTTCTGATATATATAAACAAACTTTCCTAAATTATAGGAATTGACATGTTGCCCTTTCAGAATGGTCGACGAAATAAATCAAGGAATGGATCAATTAAATGAATCCAAAGTCTTAGAGCTTATAGTCGAATTGTCGTCAAAGCCCAACGTTCCTCAATACTTCCTTTTGACCCCTAAAGTTTGATTTCCTTTTATTTTAATACACATTTATTTCTGAAGATGAATTTTTTGGGGAGAAAGTTATGTCAAATTGTGCAAATTATAAAATGGGGGGAAAAAATAAAATCTTAATAAATTCCATACTGAGAGCATTTAAGAGTCGAAAAAAGTAAGGAATTGGCAAAACTGCAGCATATTAATCAATTATCACTGTATTATTTAGCTCTTACCAAACGCCAAATTCGGTGGCTTCACCAAATTTTTGGTTCTCATTCGAACCAATTTACCAGAGGAGGCTGACGAATATGATAACCATATAGCAGGAAGTAGCAACGATAATGCTCTTATGGATATACAACTCAACGGTGAATCATCACCCCATCATATTCGAAACCGCCGTCGAAACGGTTTGATCAATCTTAATCTTTCAAATATGTTCAGAGTTCCTAATCCGACTAAAATAGAACACGATTGTTGTAGCGTGGTGACTGATACACTGTCTACTTCTTCTCGAACTAATCCTCTTCCAATTGTTAAACCTGAGTTCTTCAGCCCAACAAGAAAAAAAAATCGTATTCGATAGATGAACTTAGTAGAAATGAAAGAAATAGACCTTTTGCCAAAAATTATAATATGATTTTTTTTGAAATTATAGAATAATTCGTATATTTATGAAAATCCTATTATAACTAATGATAAATTATATATAAATTCATTTAATGTAACTATGGAAAAAATTATATGTAATACTAGAGCCTTGTATTGCACGTATTTTAATGGCTCATCCGAATTTATTTTCTCTGCCAGGGTTAGACTCGAAGATCTGTTAATCAAAGGCTCTTTAACGTAAAAATAAAATTAGATAAAGGTCAGGGAATATTGTTAAAAAATTTTAAGATTATGAAAAATTTTCTTACTGCAATTATATAAGTTTGAAATGAATTTTGCTTGCAGCACAGAAATAGATCTTTTAGCTCAGATTAAATTTCGTGTAGCCACCCTATAACCTAAATTTTTGAAGATTTCAGATGTCAAAATTGGGAAAATATCTGATTTTATATTTATCCGTCGTTATTTAAATAATGATTTGCCTAAATACAAATATCTATTCTAGTGTTATTTAAAACAGATTCTTTTTAAACAATATAGACTAGAGGGCTAGATACAAAATATTTATTATGAAAAAGTTAATTTCTTCTTCACAATGAGCTATAAAGATGAAGTGATAGCAAAGAAAATGATGATATCATATAGATCTGAGTTCTATTACAGGAAATCGGCGTATGACATTAGTAGATATGAAGCAATTGCATGACTACACCTTTTGATGTTTTGAAAATGGGTTATTTGTATTTCATAAAATTTGGTCGTTGTTTAACAAGTCGTTCGACTGAGAATCCCTAGTTTCCCACCCAACTAAAGGGAATCATAAATTATTACACCAAATACTGTTAAAACTTTAGAGGATTTATCCGATTTTTTATACCTAAAACTTGCCTACAAACATACGAAAATAATTTATTATTTGTACAAATCGAATAATTTCTTATTACCATTCTTTCTTACGAATAATAAATTTATAGATATGAAGAAATAAATAAAAAGCTCTGCTAGCAACATTTTAAATACTTTTAGTTAAAATAATTATGAATATTTATAAATTAGAATAGTAATAGGACTAATTTGAATAATAAAAAATAGTTTTGTTATATTCTTAAAATGCGAATAGAATAATTCTTTTTAATACCTAAAATAACGATATTCATATGATCACCTAAGTATTACTATTTTTATCCAGTAGAATGTGCCTAAAAGGCAATTTTAAAATGTTCGACATTGAAATATAAATAAAGATTTTTTATTCACCGTACAAAATAAAATTATTGTAATCAGATGTCACGTCATTCAACTTCCCGTGTCATTAGATATAATGCATTCAACTTCCCGTGTCATTAGATATAATTATGGAAATTTACTTTGATAGAATGAAATAACATGATTAAATTGTTACTATATGCAAGCCTAGTAAAGTATATAAATGAATCTTACCCAAATAATAACGATATTAACAAAAAACAATTAAAATGACATGCGCTCACTCGACATATGGAATAATATACAAAGTGCATCTTAGTTTTATTTTTATACAATCTGATATTCCAGCAATCTAAAATATAGATAACAATCTAGTATTAAATTGTAATAGGATACTGACAAAATTAAAATATAATAAATATTTGCAAGACCTTTTCATCATTTAAGGTGCTTATATTAAACAATTTTCAAAATAACCTACCCAATCAAAAATAATTCGTGTATTCTTATAAGTTTTTTGGAAAAATTGGAATCGTACTTAATTCATAGATCATTTTTGAAATATTTAGATACCATATGTAGTATTATTTAATTAAATTTTACATTACTATTATCTCAAGGTGGGCTACTCATAAAATGTTTGAACAATTATAAATCTGCGAAAGAAGCCTTCGTCATTTAAGAAATATTTTTGAAAAATTTAACTATGAATCTTTTCCATCAGAAAAAATAATTTGATCAATAATGCTACCCTACGGGAATGACTAAAATACGCGTCCCCAACAAACTACGCGTCCCCGGTCAAAACGATTTATTAATATTAATAGGAAATCTTATTAAGCTTTATAAGATGAGTTAGAAAATGTTTTTTTTAATTTAAAAAAAATACGGTAACTATATAAAATTTACAAAAATTTATTTTTTTAAAAAATAAACAACGCGTCCCCGGTCAAAATACAGTTTTTTTTAAAAAATCAAAACGGATTCATATTTAGCTCATTAAAAGAATACAGAATATGTAAATATTATATTTTAAACTATTTTATAACTTAGTGATTTTTTCAAAAAACACTTTTTTTTTCAAAAACACTACGCGTCCCCGGTCAAAAAACCTTTTTTTAAAAAAAATAATAAAAAATAAAAGCAGATTCATGTTTAACTTTTTAAGGAGATTCAGAAAATGGTATTAATAAAAAAAAATTTTTTTTTGGCTAAACTACGCCTCCCCGGTCAAAATACAGTTTTTTTAAAAAAATCAAAACGGATTCATATTTAGCTCATTAAAAGAATACAGAATATGTAAATATTATATATTAAACTATTTTATAACTTAGTGATTTTTTTCAAAAAACACTTTTTTTTTTCAAAAACACTACGCGTCCCCGGTCAAAAAACCTTTTTTTTTTAAAAAATAAAAGCAGATTCATGTTTAGCTTTTTAAGGAGATTCAGAAAATGGTATTAATAAAAAAAATTTAAAAAAAAAATTTTTCCGAAAAATTTTTTTTTGGCTAAACTACGCATCCCTACGCGTCCCCGGTCAAAATACAGTTTTTTTAAAAAAATCAAAACGGATTCATATTTAGCTCATTAAAAGAATACAGAATATGTAAATATTATATTTTAAACTATTTTATAACTTAGTGATTTTTTCAAAAAACACTTTTTTTTTCAAAAACACTACGCGTCCCCGGTCAAAAAACCGTTTTTTTTTAAAAAATAAAAGCAGATTTATGTTTAGCTTTTTAAGGAGATTCAGAAAATGGTATTAATAAAAAAAAAATTTTTTTTTGGCTAAACTACGCATCCCTACGCGTCCCCGGTCAAAATACAGTTTTTTTAAAAAAATCAAAACGGATTCATATTTAGCTCATTAAAAGAATACAGAATATGTAAATATTATATTTTAAACTATTTTATAACTTAGTGATTTTTTCAAAAAACACTTTTTTTTTCAAAAACACTACGCGTCCCCGGTCAAAAAACCGTTTTTTTTAAAAAATAAAAGCAGATTCATGTTTAGCTTTTTAAGGAGATTCAGAAAATGGTATTAATAAAAAAAATTTAAAAAAAAAATTTTTCGAAAAATTTTTTTTTGGCTAAACTACGCATCCCTACGCGTCCCCGGTCAAAATACAGTTTTTTTAAAAAATCAAAACGGATTCATATTTAGCTCATTAAAAGAATACAGAATATGTAAATATTATATATTAAACTATTTTATAACTTAGTGATTTTTTTCAAAAAACATTTTTTTCGAAAACACTACGCGTCCCCGGTCAAAAAACCGTTTTTTTTAAAAAATAAAAGCAGATTCATGTTAAGCTTTTCAAGGAGATTCAGAAAATGGTATTAATAAAAAAAATTTAAAAAAAAACATTTTTTCGAAAAAATTTTTTTTGGCTAAACTACGCATCCCTACGCGTCCCCGGTCAAAATACAGTTTTTTTAAAAAAATCAAAACGGATTCATATTTAGCTCATTAAAAGAATACAGAATATGTAAATATTATATATTAAACTATTTTATAACTTAGTGATTTTTTCAAAAAACACTTTTTTTCGAAAACACTACGCGTCCCCGGTCAAAAAACCGTTTTTTTAAAAATAAAGCAGATTCATGTTTAGCTTTTTAAGGAGATTCAGAAAATGGTATTAATAAAAAATTTTAAAAAAAAAATTTTTTCGAAAAATTTTTTTTTGGCTAAACTACGCATCCCTACGCGTCCCCGGTCAAAATACAGTTTTTTTAAAAAAATCAAAACGGATTCATATTTAGCTCATTAAAAGAATACAGAATATGTAAATATTATATATTAAACTATTTTATAACTTAGTGATTTTTTCAAAAAACATTTTTTTCGAAAACACTACGCGTCCCCGGTCAAAAAACCGTTTTTTTTAAAAAATAAAAGCAGATTCATGTTAAGCTTTTCAAGGAGATTCAGAAAATGGTATTAATAAAAAAAATTTAAAAAAAACATTTTTTCGAAAAATTTAAAAAAAAACATTTTTTCGAAAAAATTTAAAAAAAAACATTTTTTCGAAAAAATTTTTTTTGGCTAAACTACGCATCCCTACGCGTCCCCGGTCAAAATACAGTTTTTTTAAAAAAATCAAAACAGATTCATATTTAGCTCATTAAAAGAATACAGAATATGTAAATATTATATATTAAACTATTTTATAACTTAGTGATTTTTTCAAAAAACATTTTTTTCGAAAACACTACGCGTCCCCGGTCAAAAAACCGTTTTTTTTTTAAAATAAAAGCAGATTTAGTTTAGCTTTTTAAGGAGATTCAGAAAATGGTATTAATAAAAAAAAATTTTTTTTGGCTAAACTACGCATCCCTACGCGTCCCCGGTCAAAATACAGTTTTTTTTAAAAAATCAAAACGGATTCATATTTAGCTCATTAAAAGAATACAGAATATGTAAATATTATATATTAAACTATTTTATAACTTAGTGATTTTTTCAAAAAACATTTTTTTCGAAAACACTACGCGTCCCCGGTCAAAAAACCGTTTTTTTTAAAAAATAAAAGCAGATTCATGTTTAGCTTTTTAAGGAGATTCAGAAAATGGTATTAATAAAAAAAATTTTAAAACGCATCCCTACGCGTCCCCGGTCAAAATACAGTTTTTTTAAAAAAATCAAAACGGATTCATTTATAGCTCATTAAAAGAATACAGAATATGTAAATATTATATTTTAAACTATTTTATAACTTAGTGATTTTTTTCAAAAAACACTTTTTTTTTCAAAAACACTACGTGTCCCCGGTCAAAAAACCGTTTTTAAAAATAAAAGCAGATTCATGTTTAGCTTTTTAAGAAGATTCAGAAAATGGTATTAATAAAAAAAATTTTAAAAAAAAATTTTTTCGAAAAAATTTTTTTTGGCTAAACTACGCATCCCTACGCGTCCCCGGTCAAAATACAGTTTTTTTAAAAAAATCAAAACGGATTCATATTTAGCTCATTAAAAGAATACAGAATATGTAAATATTATATATTAAACTATTTTATAAC